ATGTAGGGGATGTTGTGGCTGTGCAAGGGAGGTGGAGACGTCAAGTTTCTAGGTTATGCAGTGGGTTGGGTGGTGATGGGTGTTTAATTGGGTATGGTTTTTGGTGTTGATACGGGTTACTGAAAACAAAAATCTAGAAAATCTAGTTCCATGTGAAGAAGAAGAAGAAATTGGTGTAGTTCAGACTCACGTGTTCTATTTAGCGAGTTCGCTATTTTGCGAACCACTTTTCAACTTCACTATATTAGAGGAGTGAGTGAAGGGTTTTGATCACTGTTGGACTATGTAATCTCATTTAAGTTAGTCCCCTCTGTTACCAAATATGGGTTTCTAGTGTTATTTAAGCTAGTTCAGTCCAGTGAGGGGTACTAAATAGAACCTTAAGGTTCATTTCCCTTCAATGTAAAAAAAAATACATTGTGTCTAGTTGATGTTGGGCGAGTTTTTATTGTCATTTTCCTTGAGAATATATATATATATATATATATTGGTAATTCTTCAATATGTGAAGATCATGTTGAAATCGTGTGTTCGGATTAAGCTTCTCTTGCGGCAAAACTAGTGATGCATTGGGCCTTGAATACGTTTGGACCTTTTCTAATAAAAATTTGGTCCTTAATAGGTTTTCTCTCCTCATTTTAGCTCAAGTTCAACCAAACCGAATCACTTAATGATAGATTAATGGATTAAATAACTTTTTGGTTACTTGATTTTTCAAGATAATTCAATTTGGTCACCGAGAAAAAAATTTAGCCAAATTTGTCACTATGTTTCCCAAAGTTTACAATTTATAGACATTTCATTACCTTTCTTTAAATGTAGTTTTTATTTTTAGTTTTCTAGGAAGCACATTCAATCTTGAAGCCTGAATCGATTAAGTGAGAACCCTATTGCAACTTTGGATGGCAATAATGAGACGTAATCAAGGTGATAAAGCACCAAAATATATTGGAAGTTGTTGATTTCATTTTAATTTGGTTCAACTTTTTTATTTTCCTTATACCTCACAATTTTGATTTCAACCCAAGATTTTCCTCAATTTCTTCAACCCTAATAACACAATATACCTTAACTAGTTCAGTTAGAGGAAGAAGACTGAAGGGGCTTCCTAAAGAAATAAAAATTAAAACTGCACTTAACGGAAGATAATATAATAGAATGTCTATAAATTGTAAACTTTAGGAAACAAAGTGACCAATTTGTTTAATTTTTTTTCTTAGTGATTACCGAACCATAAATAAGATCATATTTATGTATGTTATTTTCATTTTCCCTTCCAATAAGTCAAGATTGAGATTGAGTCAACTTTGTCCCTTTGCTCGTTGATTACTTTCTTTGTTTTTCATCCTTTTTATTTATCAAAATTTAGCTTGATTATTTGATAATAAATAAATAAATATAGCTTGATTATTCCTTTCTTTTTCGTTGTCCAAAATTGAATCATTAATTTCTTCTAAGATTTGTTATAAGCCAACAATTCATAAAAACTTAATTTGTCTCAAATTCTTAGTTTTTAGTTTATTCCATTTTTATATGGATTTTCATACTTAATTTTCCCCTCATCCTAAACAATTTATACTGACATAAAATTTTTTTTGTTGTTCTAAAAATGCTATTTTCACTATTGAGAAAAAGAGTCATGAGTTTTTCTGGGGCACCACTAATAATGTTCTTCTAGTCCCTTGGAAATTCAATAGTAAACTGAAATTTATGGGGGATTTGGGACTAAGGAATTTATCTTTTTTAATAATGCTACTTTGGATAATTATGTTGAAATATTTACTGAACCTAATAATTGGTGGGTGCAAATTATTTATAAGCAATACATTAAAAATACTTCCTTTTTAAAACAAGCGATAATCTAAGGGGAGGGGGTTGCTTACATTTGAGCATGGGTCCTCACAGTTTTATTATTGACTCAAACTTATGTTATCTTGCCCAAAAGGTCTCTTACTAGGAAGTCAAGTGCCCCATCATATATGGATTTTCACATTTCCCTTCCCCAAGTGATGTGGAATTGCTTGCTCATCTTGCCCTTTCGTGCCTTGCATCTTTCTCTTTAGGAAATTTGTTGGATTGTGAGTAACAGTTAAAATATTGAGTTTACCCTTTTTTGTGAAATTTTTTATCAATTTACCCAGGATTATATTATCACATGCAATTGGAATCTTAATAAGCTGGCTCAAGTTGTGCCTCCATTATGTTGTACAAACTATTTGTTCTCTTCATCTCTCTATTTCTCTAATTGAGGATCACTTTATTTGGGGTCTACTCATATTCTTTTTCAATTAAAACTTTTAGACCACTTTAAATTAGAGTGCTGATTTTTCCACTTTCTTTTTGTCTACTTAGTGCTAGTTTGACATTGCTTATTTGGGATGATAAGTGATTTTTTAAAATTTTTGAGAAGCCCAACCCGTTTGGTAAACTGTGAGAAAATCACTTATTGTTAAAAATTGCTGTGAGAGAAAGCTATAAGGGAAAGCAGCTAATGAGGTGCTTTCATTTTCTGATTATGCATAAATCAGTTTCGAAGAAGCGCTGGGTTTAATGATTATGCGGCAATCATTTTTTGATTATGCGTAAAATCAATACCAACAACACTTTTAACAAAAAATTTACCAAACACCAAACTGCTTTCTCTCACAGCAAATCTGACAGCGATTATTTTCACAGCACAGCAATGCCAAACTAGCCCTTATACTCCATTTTGTTATTTTTTAATAGTTTTAACTATAACATACAATTTCCAACAAGTGAGTGTAAGTGGACAAAAGAGTGTTGGAAGTTTGAATGAAATTCAAAGACACTTATCCCACATTGGTAAGAAGAAGAAAAAATGAGGTCTTTATAAATGTGGAAGTCCCACACTTAGTAAATGGAAGTTGGGCCAAGTGGAAGCCAATTGGGCTTCAAAATCTATTTGGGCATTGAATATTATATAAATAATATTGAATATTTAATTATAAAAAAGATGGGAAGAAGGTTTTTTAAACCAAACAAAACCTCATTCATCAAACACAGAAGAAGTATTTTACAAGCATTTCACATTGGCTTAGAATACAAATAGTAGAATTTTGGGAGATAGTCACCTGTAGAACTTCAAGCACCAAAAAGGGGTGTAATTATTGTCTTTAGGACATTGCATCAAATCTGCAAGCCTCTATCTCGAATCCAAGTCAGTTTCATTTATTTTTGTTTACTGTATTTTGAATTACAGTTTGTTTACTATATATATATATATATAATACTAGAGAACGACTTTCTCATTTTACTTCTATTTATCCTCTTTGTTCTTTTTGTAATATGGCCTAATAAACTCTCACTCATCTACTTTCTTCATGTACATATTCTGCTCAACTTTGATATCAGCTTAACCATATTTTGGAGTTATTGGTCTTTCGACTACTAATAATAATGATATTATTGATTGGATTATCTACATTTGGAACCAATTCTCTTCTTATTTTTGGGAAAGGTTCTTCATTGTTTGTTGGAAGATTTAATGTTGAAAATATGACCTAAAGTCAAGCATATGGTGAAACTTTATGGATATATTTCATTACCTTTCATGATAAACTATAATGGACACGTTTATTGTTTAATAGCAAATGTCTCATTAATTGTTATGTGTTTAAATAATATGTCCAAAGCATATGAGATAAAGAGAAAGCGGTCTAGAAAAAAGTTAGATTCATGAGACCTTCCTCTTTACTACCCTCATATCCTAAAGTGTGTCTAGTCATAAGATTATCAACTAGGAATTAATAATCCATAAAAACTGGTACATATCATGTATGCTCAATTGGGAGGATGACTAGTCTCAAGTCATTCGCGTAGAAACACTTAGACAAGTATGTTAGGTACTAAATAAAGCATGAGTTCACTGAGCGCGGTCAATCAAGAAATCTTGTATGCAAGTTTCACTTACATGTCAAACAAGATTTCATAGTTGCAATAATGCAAGGTTAATCCTTAGACCTGAGGCACCATGGTTGTCTTGTGAAAAGGTCGTTGATCTTTAATTTATGTCGAATAGTCTAACCAAATTAGGGACTTGCCTCAAGACATCGTTGGGGTCCTTGTTTGATTCACAAAGGCATGTGTGAAGGAAACATATATTTAAAATTTAAATAATTGGATTTTAGGCTGCAACATGTATGAATCAAACATTTAAAGAGGCAGAAGTGAATTAAAATTTTAGTTCTTATTGAGCCTAATGCTATCCAAACTCCCAAGTACCTCATAAGATAACATATAATCATGAATTAAAACAATTGGTCTTGCCCATAAATAACTTAATATATAAGTCATTACAAAAGATGTCCTTAACATTAACTATTACATAAATAGTCGGCTTTAAGGGCATATATCTAACAATTCCAAAGGTGATAATTTGGAGACCATCCAAGAGAGTGTCAAGGGTAAGAAAGCTTCATCATTTCCTTCCTTTTTTCTATGTGGCAATATATCAAATTAGACCTAGAAAGGTACTTGGGAGTTTGGATAGCATTAGCGAGAAACAAGAACGAATGAATATTCATATGTATAAATATGTATCATAAGATATATATATATATATATATATAATTATAACCAACATTTAGTTGTACCGGGGAAACAATCCAACCGAGGGATTATTTGACTAGTCAACATGGCAGAATCATTCCTTAATTCACCATGTGACTAGGGAACGAGCCGTCCAAGTGGGGGACTAACTCTCAGCCAGCACGTACAACTGAGATACTCAAAGCTTGTATGCCTAAAAAACCAGTCCTACGAGCGCAGACTATCCCAAATCCAGGGTCTACAGCAACATCCCGTCAAGGATGTCCCGGGTTCCGACCAGTCCAAGTATGTCAAGTATCAATAACCAAGTTCCAAATCCGGGGAGGTACATAGGGTAGTGCTTAAAGCACTCCAAACAGATTTCCACAAACTCATTTTAACAACCCAAGTACCCCAAATACCCCATACATAGCCAATACTTCATAAAAATATCACTTTCCACCCTTGAATAAATAGTACTATATCCAAATATACCAATAAACATTATGCATAAAGTTTCCTATCATAAAACCATGCATATTATGTTAAAACAAAGTCCACTCACAAGTAGTCCCACACTGCTTGACCCTAAGAGGGCCCTGCCTGCTGCGTATGCGTGGTCGGAGTACCTATTTCAGAAAACGAACACGCGATTAACATCAAGCGCTTCGAAACAGAATTTTGAATTAAAAACCTAGTTCCCGGGTTTCTAGTGAGTGTACGCGGAAAGAGACGTTCTAAGGTCCAACTACCCAAACCGGACGATGGAAAAGCCTCGAGAGACATTCGGTCAACCAGGCGGTCAAACTTCTCAAATTGGGTCAACCGGGCCCACGAGACCCACAACCTCTGTTTTTCAATCCGGGAGTTCCTAAAGGTTTTACAAGGTCTAAGATGCACGTCCTGTAAGTTTGGTTTGAAACGGATGGTTAGATCGCTTACGATCGGACGGTTATCGTATAACGTAAACTTTAAGTTATTGAATCGAAACATCCGGGGCTCCGATTCATGATCCGCGAATTCCTACACGATCCTAGGAAGGTCTAGAGCAACATACTTCAATTTGGAAATGATCCAACGGTCGGAATATATCGAACCCGGATAACGCACAATATGCGATAATCCGTTCGATAGTCAAACGACCTCGGAATCGAGATCCGCGAAATCCTACGCGCTCGTGACATCCTAAGGATCTCATCAGGACAATTTGCAGCTCCACCACACTTGCCCACTCGCCGCCACACGCGCTGGCAGCAAGTGGGTGTATAGAGAAATATCGGCGACGGAAAATCTCCAAACCACAAGCCACCTTCCCGGCTACAAGTTCTACTCAACTAGGGGAGCATTTCATTTAACTACGGCCAAGCCCAAATATGCTAGGAACTGGCCGGAATTTCGAATTGAAAACCGGCCAAAACCTAGCTTCTCAAATCGGATTTTATGCTACGACTTGAAACAAACCTAAGCAACAGTTAGCTAGGACTCAGAAAATGGATGAGAATCCATACCTCAACCGCAAGAAATGATGGAGAATCGAGAGAGAACCGGCCCTGGAAATTTCGTATGAAAATCGGCCCGAAACTTGCAAAAATTCCGGTGACTTGCGACGGTTTCACGGGGAGGAGATCAGTCGAAGGTGGAAGAGGGGAGTGGCCCGGTTCGAACAAGACCAAAGCCGGCCCTTGCCGTGACCAGCGTTGGGAGAACGAAGAGTGAGCTTGGGGTTGGGGAGAGAAAAACGCACGGGAGAGAGAGAGAGAGAGAGAGAGAGATAAAACTGAAAAATAAAATCTGATTTTAACCCCATCCCTTCTCAAATTAATTACGGTTTTGCCACCGAAGGAAACTTGATCGCCGAAACCTCGTTACCATTCTGAATCGAGTCCGCCACACGTCCACGGACTCACCTCAAAGCGATCAATCCAAAAATATCAAACACTGCCCCAAACTCCCTCTCCGAATTAAGAAAATGACCGAACTACCCTGCCCCAAGGGTAATTTCATAAATTCACATTTAATTTAATTAAAATAGGGAATAATTTGGAGTCGGGGTGTTACATCTAGTCCATTTGGTGTGGTGAGATAGAGGGCTTCTACTTTGGAGTATCTTGGTTGAGGAATCCACATTCTTGTTGGGGTCTTTTTGTTCCAGCAGCCTGATGAATGAGCTTGGGCTGCTGTGATAAGAGAACAAACAAAATTCCCCCAGTGTCTGAGTTCAAGAGCCAAGCTCCCAAAAAGGTTTTTGAAAAGTTTGCTAAAACTTTAGAAAAATCGATTTCAGGTTCTTTTCACTAATAACCAAACAAACACAACAAATCGATGAATGGCTTGGCTTAAGGAGCTTGTGGCATGGGAGCTAAGCTTTCACAAGTTTAGCAATTTGAGAGAGAGAAAGCATGAGATTCTTGCAGAATTAAAACAAGGTAGAAGGAAATTAGGAGGATTTCTATCTTAGGGAAAGAAGAAAACAACGAGAGAAGAAGATTGGGTGGCTTGAGTAAATTCCCAGTCGCTTGACAAAGCTTGGTCAGGCTCTGGATGATGTTTTTGCTGGGTAGAGGAAGCTCCCTTTTATAGGCACAAGGAGCCCCTAATTTTATCTAGCATTTTCCCTCATTTCTCTTTGCTTCTTCCCATTCGATCCTATTTGGTACAATTTTCCTATCCAAGGTGCATGGGTAAGGAGCCCTTTGGGGTTCCAAGGGTTTTGTGTGGCCGGACCTCCCCATAGGGGTGAGGCGCCACCTGCTTTCCTTATGGGTTTTCAAGATGAAGCTTACAGAGGAAAAGAAAAATGGGTGGAGTTCTTTGTCTGATGCGTATTCTTCCTTCACACATGGATTTCCGTTGGTCCCTACCATGGCTCCTTGTTTGACCATCTTGGAGTCCTGACAAGGGTGGAGCACGATGCTAGCTTTTTCACAAGCCGCTGGGCTAGGCTCGTGAGCACAGTATTGGGTTATTAGCATGTTATTTCCTGTTTTCGTCAAGTTGTTGGAAACAACTTATGTAATTTTAGGCATTTTATTGGTGTGGGCTTGTCTAAGTGTTATAGCAGATTACTAGGCATTCTCTTAAGGCGTTGGATCATTTTTCCTTTTCTCTCATGCTAACCCATGTGTTTGGGCCCGAGAAACAGGCTTGAGTTTTAATGCTCTCAAGTAGCTTAAAACTTTTCATTCCTCGAACCCTCAATGGGCCCTGTGATTGCTTGTTCCCTTCCATATCACAACCTTCTCAGCAGGCCCCGGGTAATTTTGTGGCTTGAGCCCACTTAAGCTTGTGGCACGGCTTGATATTAGAATAGTGGTCTTGCTTGTGCTTGAGTTATCATGCCGCAATAGGCTATATGTAACACCCCGACCCCAAATTAAATTCCTTATTCAAAGTATTTAATTCTATAAATTGTGAATTTACGAAATTACCCTTGGGGTAGGGGTATTCTGGTCATTTTCTTATCCGGAGTGAGTTTGGGGCAGTGACTAGTATTTTCGGATAGATCGTACTGAGATGAGTCCGTAGACACGTAGTGGGCTCGATTCGGAGTTGTAACGAAGAAGTTACGATCAAAACAAGTTCAGTGGCATAATCGTAAATTTTTCAAAATTGGTTTTTAATAAATCTGAAAATACTCTCTCTCTCTCTCTCTCTCTCAATCTCTCTCTCTCTCAATCTCTCTCTCTCCCGCAAACAGCCCCCATCCCCCTGCTACAGTTGATCGGATTTCTCCACGCCACCACCATCTCCGGCCACCTCGATCGACAGCACCGGTCGCAAACGAATCGGGCCACTCTCCTCTTCCACCCCAATTGATCTCCACCCCAGGAACTGTCGCAAGCCACCGAAAATTGCAAGTTTCAGGCCGGTTTTCATACGAACTTTCCAGCTCTCGTTCTCTCTCGATTCTCCACTAGTTCCAACAGTTGAGGTATGGATTCTCATCCATTTTCTGAGTTCTAGCTGACTGTTGCATAGGATTGGATCAATTCGTAGCATAAAATCCGATTTGAAAACCTAGGTTTTTGGCCAGTTTTCAATTCGAAATTCCGGCCACTTCCGGCCACTTTTTGGGGTAGGCCCAAGAACAAAAGTGACTCAAAATATAGTGTTTTACCTAGGACAAGAGTTTGGGCCAGCGGTTTGGAGTTTTTCCAGCTATGGGAAATTGATCAAGCCACCCACACGCTGCCGGCGCGTGGGCAAGGTTGGTGGAGCTGCTAAATGTCCTGATGAGATCCTTAGGTTGTCATGAGCGCGTAGGATTTCACGGATTTCAAAACAGAGGTCGTGGGTCTTGTGGGCCTAGTTGACCCGATTTGGGAAGTTTGACCTCCCAGTTGACCGAATGTCTCCCGAGGCTTTTCCATCGTCCGAGTTGGGTAGTTGTTCCTTAGAATGTCTCTTTCCGCGTACACTCACTAGAAACCTGGGAAACTAGGTTTTTAATTCAAAATTCTGTTTCGAAGCGCTTGATGTTAATCGCGTGTTCGTATTCTGAAATAGGTACTCCGGCCATGCATACGAGCAGGCGGGACCCTCTCAGGGTCAAGCAGTGTGGGACTACTTGTGAGTGGACTTTGTTGTTAAATAATGTGCATGGTTTTATGATGGGAAAATTTATGCATAATGTTTATTGGTATATTTGGATATATTATTTATTCAATGGTGGAAATTGATATTTTTATGAAATATTGACATTTTGGGTTTTGATATATTTGAAATGAGTTTGTGGAAAGGGTTGAGTATTGAAATATCTGTTTGGAGTGCTTTAAGTACTACCCTATATACCGCCCCGGATTTGGAACTTGGTTACTGATACTTGAGATACTTGGAATTGTCGGAACCCGGGACATCCTTGATGGGATGTTGCTGTAGACCCTGGATTTGGGGTAGTCTGCGCGCATAGGACTGGTTTTTCAGGCGTACAAGCTTTGAGTGTCTCGGCTGTACGTGCTGGCTGAGAGTTAGTCCCCCAGTTGGACGGCTCGTTCCCTAGTCACATGGTGAATTGAGGAATGGCTCTGCCATGTGGACTAGTCAAACAATCCCCCGGTTGGATTGTTTCCCCGGTAGAACTAAATGTTGATTATATTTTTATATATAGTTTATTATTATTATATTATATATATATGAATATTCATTCGTTCTTGTTTCTCGGTAAGGATACTTCCTCGCCGGTCGTGCAAGTGGGTACGTTTTCGAGAGTTTAATCTTTCGGGACTTTTAAGTTTTAAATGGTGGGTTTGTGAAGTGTTGTTCACGGATTTCGGACTTGGTATCCGGTATTATTTTAGTATATGTTTATATACTTGCTTATGACGATTTTAAGATGCATTTGGAATTCTTGCATGGTTTTCTAACGGTGGGGTTATATTACGTTGATTTATTTGAACTGAACTTTATTTTTTGTCCACTCACAATTTTCTGCTTTGCGCCCCCCAGCCAGTAGTGACTGAGCTCCGCAGTCGAGCCGGATCGGGTGCTTCCGAACCTTGAGTCTTTGTAGGGACTCCTTCATCTTTCTTTTCCAATGGAACTTTGTTTCTGTTGTAATTGAATTTCTTAGATATGCTCTGTATCGCCCGCTTAGGGTTTGAATTGTGAGGTTGGAGGCCTTTGTTGTAAACTGTTTAACTGCTTTTAAAGCATGCTGCTGGTTGGGTTTATTAACTGTAAATTTTGAGCAGGTTGAAGTTTGGGAATGTTCAATTTACAGTGGAGACTCTGCCAAATTTTTGGTAGAAGTCTCTGTCTTTAGTAAGTGGCCTCGGCATCGGGGTGATGTCGGTAATTAGGCGGGGTCTGTCCCGGTTTCCGAGGAAATTCGGGGCGGGTCCTGTCACTATAATTGGGCCAAGTAACACCAGATAGGTAGATGAGCATGATTTTGTAAAGTTGGTATGCTCTTGGCCTTTTTGCGCGTGCTTGCTTGGCATGACACGTGGCCCGTAGCTTGCATTGGTGCGTCCTACAAATTCTATTTTGTCCCGATTGGGCTTCTTTTGCGTTCAATTATTTGTGTTGGGCCAACAATTAATCTGGGTTTAGCCCCTTGGATTTTTGGGCCTCAACAATTCTAAGACGAGATTGAAGGCCTTTCCAACAAGGTGATCATTTTTGGTTCTCCAAGAAAAGTCTACAAGGGTAAAAGCTTAACCTTTCTTCTCTTTTCTATTTTGTGCTCAAAGAGACTATATCATATGATACTTGGGTTAAATGAAAAAGGCTTAGCTGAACTAGAATAAGCAAAATTAATCTGCCATTATGAATGAATTTTGTGTTATATGTTGTGGCTAAATTCATTTCCAACCAAAAACATAAGTTTCCTTCAGGAAAGGCATTCTTCCATATCTTGCTTCATGGATTCTTCACAAGGTACCAAAGTAGCTACCCTCTAGTTCACTACACCAAATGTTTAGAGGATGAAGAAGGAAACAACCAAGAAACTAGAGATGCTAAACACCTCTTGGTGACCGATTTTGGCAAAGGTGGAGGACATGATTTCTCTTTCTTCTCAATACCACAACCTAATTTCTTAGGTGGCTCAAATCCTAGCTTGAGAATAGCGTAAGTGTGGCTTATATAGCCCAACACAAAAGATGAAGCAAAGCTCCATCAATAGGGCATTTCAGCCATGGGTCCAATTTGGGCTTCATTTCACTTGAGTTGTCGTATAACACATGTTCCTAGGAACAATGGGTCCCTAGGCTATTTTGCCATTTGCCCTAAAGTATCTTTAAAGCCCAATTCAAGTCTAACCGCCAAACTAACTTCATAATTAACAGTTTAATTATGATTTGTGACTTAACCATTAAGGTGTTGTTTGGTATGGCGGACTATCATAAACTAGACTAAATCCTAGCACTGTTTTGGATTAGCTTGGATTGGCCTTAGCTGGATTAAGTACTCACCTATATTTGATGCAGCATCGCACTAAGAAGTTGGATTGTAAAAATAGTGAAAACCTATGTTTAGTGTTGTGTCGGACTAAAAAATAAATATTTACATATTTAAATTTAATTAAGGACTTTGACCTAAAAATAAATAAATATTGCAAGTGTATTTTTGCTATTTTATGTTCTAAAAAATATTTAAAATAATAAGAAAAAGAAAACAATTAAAATTATGATATTTTTAAAGGCAAAAATTATCATAAACAATTTTTAAAAAAGTATAAATGCTTTATCTCAACAACCAAGTCCCAATGTCCAAAAAAAAAAAAAAAAAAAAAAAAAAAAAAAAAAAAAAAAAAAACCCACCCAACCCCCCCCCCCAAGTCCCCCAAAATACAGAAATACAAAAAAAAAATAATAGATGGTGAAGATCATAGCAACCATTGCAAACAAGGCCACACCGATTCACCCAATCTCACCAACTTCATCAACCCACATAACCATCACCAACATGTTCCAAAGGTCGAGGTCTTTATAGGCGATTCTTCATCGATGGTGTAATAACCCGATCCTAAATTAATAGTTAATTTTTAATTTATTCAAGTAAAAGATAATTTTACCCCGAGAACATTTTAATGGGTTAAAAGTTGACTTTTTGTTCGGAAAGGAATTTGAGAATTTTAGTTGTACCGTTGTGTAGAGCATGTTGACATGAGTCTGTAGACACGTAATGGGCTCAAATCGGAGTTGTAACGAAGAAGTTACGATCAAAAGAAGTTTAGTGGCATAATCGTAAATTTATCGAAGTTCAGATTTTTTAAAACCTAGATTTCTTCTCTCTCGCAAATTTGACGAACAGCAGTTTTCAAACTCCGATTTCTCCTTCGTCCAGCCACCAATTCTAACCCCACAACTTGCAAACTTCGTCTCTCTCTCCTCTTTCCATACATGCCCATATCTAACCATGGTTCCAAGCGATTAAACCAAAAAATCGATCGAAAACAAAGCCAAAAACGAGCCCAAACCGACTATGCAAAAACATCGGCTGTTCATCGTCTTTTTCGGCCAATTCTGGCAGCCACAGCTTAGGTAATTACACCCAAAACACTCTCCTACCTTCCCTTTGTGTTTTCCCTTGAAGACCCGATTTGATTTTATCCCAAAACCGTCGAATCCAAACCTAGAATTTCTAGGTTTTTCAAGAGACAAAAAGGTTCGTTCAGGCCGGTTTTAAAATTACTCAATACACCCGCTGAACATGGTGGTGCATGGCGGAGCGTCGACGGGTTGTCCAGGTTGGGTTTTTGTCATAAAATGATCCTCTCGTCATCCCGAGCACGACGGTATGCTTGGATTCCAATTGGTTATCGTTTGATCGTCGATCAGATATCGCATATTAGGCGTTATCCGGGTTCGATATGTTCGGACCGTTGGATCGACTTCATTTTCAAATATGTTAAACTAGACACCTCTAGAATCGTGTAGACATTCGCAGATCGAGAATCGGAGTCCCGGATACTCCGATTCAATAATTAGAAGTTGAAATAAACGATAACTGTCCGATCATACGATTGCGAGCAATCCTACTGCTCGATTCGGACCAAACTTGTAGGACATATTTAGTAAAGTGTGTTGACCTTATAGGAACTCTCGGATTGGTAATCGGAGGTTGTGGACCTCACGGGGTACCGGGTTGGCCAATATGGGAATTTAATTGCTTATTTAATCTAGGGTATTTTCAGACCATTCCACCTGTCATAAATGTTGAAAATGGACCTAAGAACTTTTGTAAGTCATGTACACGCACTTTTGAGGCCGGGGGTCGGGTTTTGATTAAGTAATTGTGGTTGAGCAATGTTATTAATTAAATAATTTTAATTGCTTAAATAGGTACTCGGGCTTCATTGGACCCGCAGGAAGGACCCTCAAAGGGTCAGGCTAGCTTGGACACTCAGTGAATGGACTTTTGTTTTATAAATGGATTTTACGCAATTAAAGTTTCATTAATTGATCTTGAATGAATTATTTATGACTATTACTTTCCAAGCAGAAATATTTGAGTTCAAATATTTTTATTAAATTTTGTTTATGTTTAAAGTGTAAATGGCTTGGAAAGTAGGAAATGAAGTGATAACAGGATTTAAGGATTTAATGAGACATAGAATTATAATTTTTTCATGAAACGTTTTAAAACCATCATAGGTACCCGAGATGTTGCCTTCAGATGTGTTTTCTTCAGTTATAATAATGTTCATGAACATTTTAGTTGCCTTCGGTTGAGTCAGCGCTCGTTTGACAGTTGCCCCACGAGTCTTAAGGATATCCGGACCATGAGGAGCGAGGATGCAGCTCAGGTTGACTAAGTGTCCCCTGAGTCTTGTGAGGAAGGCGGCTCAGGTTGACTAAATGTCCCTTGAGTCTTGCGAGGCATGCAGCTTGGGTGACTTTGTGTTTCCTAGACCTGCAAGGATGTGTCGAATTATGTGACACAAGGAATTGACGGTATAATGTGGGAAAGAATATAAAGATCATGGAATTGACGTATATATGATGGGTAAAATTAGGTAGGAAAGATTATTTCTTTACAATGCTTTCAAAAGGTTTTGATGATTCAATTTGAATGCGCGATTAGTTATATGTATATAAATATGCATGTCTTCATTCTTGTATGAATATAGAACATGAATATAATCGAATTTTCTAAATGTTTTAACAGTGGGGTTAGTATGTTATGTCAAAGGAAATAACTACACGTTTAATGCCAGTAGATTGACAACCGATTATACAAATTTACAAATTTAAATGCCAACAGATTGACAACCGATTATACAGATTTACAAATTTAAATGCCAGCAGATTCTTTCTCTAATTAGGATATACTAGTTGTAGGCTATAATTAGATAGATGTATATATGGTAGGTTAGCTGTTTTTAGGGGCTGAAGATCAGCCTATGTTATTTCATAATTAACTTGTATGATGTCCATATAATGGGTGATTCTCGATGAATAGAGACATACATTTTCAAAAAGACACTAAATTGTCATGGTATCAGAGCAACAGCTCTGAATTATCACTTGCTCTCAAGTTCCTTAGTCTCAGTTATTCTTGATCAAGTTCTCTTGACCTCATGTCTTCAGATAAGTCTAATGTTTCTTTGATTCGTTTCAATGGCAAGAACTACTCTGCTTGGGCGTTTCACTTTAGGATTTTCGTCAAAAGTAAGGAGGCGTGGGGACATGTTGATGGAAGTAACCCAGCTCTTGACAAAAACAAAGAAAAAAACTAGAACGCCAAGTGGGAAGTCAAGGACACTCAAGTTATGGCATGGATTTTAGGATTTGTCGAACCCAATATCATCTTGAACCTTCGATCATCTCAGACTGCAGCTCATATGTGGACTTACCTGAAGAAGATTTATAGTCAATGAAACACTGCTTGTCGGTTCTAGCTTGAACATGAATTGGCTGCTTTCCAACAGGATAGCCTTTCTATCTCTGATTTTTACTATAGATTCACTAATCTTTGGACTGAATACACTGATATATGCTGACTTACCATCCGAAGGTCTTAGTTCTGTTCAATCTGTCCATGAAACTACCCATAGGGATCAATTTCTAATGAAACTGAGACCTAAATTTGAAGGCACCATATCCAATCTTATGAACCGGGAATCTGTCCCCTCCTTGGATACATGCCTCAATGATCTCCTTCGCGAGGAACAACGCCTTCTCACTCAAACCACCATGGAACAACAGCGATCTACATTTGTTCCTGTGGCCTATGCAGCACAAGGTAAGCCACGAGGTAGGGATATGAGCACTGTTCAGTGTTTTTGTTGCAAGGGATTTGGTCATTATGCTGCAAATTGTCCCCGAAAATTCTGCAACTACTGCAAAAAGGATGGCCATATCATCAAGGAATGCCCTACTTGACCCCCCAAGAAATTAGAGACAGCATGTACTGTCTCCATTGGCTCTTCTAGTGCAGGTAGTTCTATGAATACAATACAGCTGACATAAAGTGCTCCTGCTCCTGTTCAACCTGTGACCCCTGACATGATTCAACAAATGATCATTTCTGCATTTTCAGCTTTAGGACTCTCAGGTAAACCCTTCTCTACATCATCTTCTTGGTACTTTGATTCCGGGGCTTCCCATCATATGACAAACAATGATGATTCTCTTACCAATGTAAACAAATATTTTGGAAATCTCAAAATTCATATTGCTGATGGCAATCATTTACCTATCACGACCACTGGTGATGTTTCTCCCTCTCTCACTGATGTCTTTGTATCTCCTAGTCTTACCACCAATCTTGTGTCTATCGGTCAGTTGGTTGATAATGATTGCAAAGTGGCATTCTCTAAATCTGGTTGTGTTGTGCAGGATCAACAGTCAGGGAGGATGATTGTGAGGGGGCCTAAAGTGGGACGTCTTTTTCCGCTTCAATTTCCTTTGTCTTCTTTTTGCCTTTGTCTCTTGTAATTCTGCTCATTTGATTACCGGGTGTGGCATAAATGTCTCGGACATCCAAACTCTAATGTACTTCATGATTTACTGAAATATGGTTTTCTTGGGAATAAAGAATCACCATCTCTTAGTGATGTATAATTTTATTGCAATTCTTGCAGACCTGGCAAAAGTAAGACTCTACCATTTCCTATTCACACACCACATGTAGTCCAACCTTTTGGTCTGATACATAGTGATGTGTGGGGTATGGCACTAGTCACTTCTCATGCTAATTACAAATACTTTGTCATTTTTATAGACGACTATAGCCGTTTCACATGGATATATTTTCTTCATTCTAAAGACGAAGTCTTTTATGTTTTTAAGATTTTTCATGCATATATTCAGACCCAATTTTTGGCCCATATCAAAAGACTTTGTTCCTATAGACTCACGACATGGGGTTGAGTATATGTCTCATTTGTTTCTGAACTTCCTACAGACTCACGGCATCATCTCTCAATGGTCTTGCCTTTCACCACCTCAACAAAATGGGGGTGGCTGAAAGGAAGAATCGTCACCTTCTTGATGTTGTTCCCACTCTCCTGTTAGAGTCATCGACGCCCTCTCATTTTTGGTGTGAAGCTCTCTCCACTGCTGTCCATCTCATCAACAAGTTGCCTTCTCCCACATTGAACCACAACTCTCTTTTCACCAGGTTATTCGGTCACCCTCCAACTTATTCCAACCTTTGTACCTTTGGTTGTGTCTGTTATGTTCATCTTCCTGCACATGAACGCACAAAACTCACGGCTCAATCGATTCAGTGTGCTTTCCTAGGATATTCAGTACACCAGAAAGGTTTTCTTTGCTATGATCCAAATTTGCAATGCATTCGAGTTTCTAGAAATGTGATATTTCTAGAAAATCAGTATTTTTTTTCCCACACATCAGGATCCCGTTTCTCCTTCATTTTCTGTTTTGCCTATGTTTACTAACTCTTTTGCAACTCCAGTTTTTCATACCTCTTCTGCAGCTCCAGTCCCTTCTAAGCCTCTCTTAGTGTATCAACAACGCTCCTCCGCCACTTCCCACCAGCCATCAGCACCTTCCAAGCCCCCTCAAGCTCCTTCCCCGACTGCTGCTCCTGTTCCAGCAACTACACCTCCCCCTCTTAGACACAGTACTCGAGTTCGTAGACCCCCAGATAGGTTTGGTTCCTCTCCTCCTTCATCCTTCACAGCCACCTTGTCTTCTATTTCTCTTCCTTCGTCTTATAAACAGGCCATGAAACATGAGTGTTGGCGGAAAGCTGTTGAAACCGAACTTCTCACCCTTGGGGAAAACTAAACCTGGGACGTTGTTCCATGTCCCTCCTCTGTGAAACCCCTTGGCAGTAAGTTCGTGTTTTCTGTCAAGCTTCGTTCTGATGGGTCCATAGACCGTTATAAGGCTCGGTTAGTGGCACTTGGCAACAACCAAGAATATGTTCTCGACTATGATGAGACCTTCGCACTAGTCGCCAAAATGACCACCGTCTGAACTATACTCGCCCTTGCTGCATCCAAATCCTGGCCCTTACATCAAATGGATGTCAAGAACGCATTCCTCCACGGTGATCTCAAGGAAGAAGTTTACTTGAAACTTCCCTCTAGTATGCCTACTTCCTCACCTAATGATGTTTGCAAACTGAAACATTCTTTGTAAGGTTTGAAGCAGGCACTGAGAGTATGGTTTGAAAAGTTCCACTCCACTTTGCTTGGTTTTTCTTTCACTCGAAGTCAGTATGACTCATCTCTTTTTCTATAACGGACATCCATGGGTATCGTTGTCCTCCTTGTTAATGTGGATGATATCATCATCATCGGCTCTGACTTGGAGGCAATCACTACAGTTTAGACTTTGCTGCATTCTACATTCCACATGAAAGATCTTGGTCAACTCATTTATTTCTTGGGTTTAGAGGTGCATCATTAGCCTCATGGTCTCTTCTTGCATCAGCACAAGTACAGTCAAGATCTGGTTCAATTAGCCGGCCTCACCAACACTACTTCAGTTGACACCCCCATGGAACTAATATGAAATATCGACGTGATGACGGGGAGCTTCTTGAGGATCCTACTATCTATCGAAAGTTGGTTGGTAGTCTTATCTATCTGACCATCACCCGACTAGACATCTCTTATGATGTTTACACTATCAGCAAGTTCATGCAAGCCCCGAGGCATCTCCATCTATTTGCTGTCCGCCGCATCATTTGCTACATTCTTAGCACACCTAGTTGTGGCTTATTCTTCCCTACAGGTTCTTCCCTTCAGCTCCAAGTCTATAGTGACGCTGATTGGGCCGATTGCCCAGACACCAGGAAATCTACTATTGGCTAGTGTATGTTTCTTAGTGATGCCCTTATCTCTTGTAAATGCAAGAAGCAGGACCACGTCTCCAAATCATCTACTGAGGCAGAGTACCGACCCATGTCTGCTGCATGCTATGAGATCATTTGGATGCGTGGTCTCCTCACAGAGCTTCGTTTCAGTCCAATTCATCCTACTCCACTGCATGCTGACAACACTAGTGCCATCCAAATTGTAGCCAACCCCGTCTATTACGAACGCACCAAACACATCGAGGTTGACTGTCACTCAATTCGAGGAGCCTATGATCATCAGGTTATCACCCTTCCACATGTCTCCACTACTCTGCAGATCGCCGATATCTTCACCAACTCCATGTCGCGTCAGCGCCATCATTTCCTCGTTGGCAAATTAATGCTTGTCGATTTACCAACATCAATTTGAGGGGGGATGTCAAAGGAAATAACTACACGTTTAATGTCAGCAGATTGACAGCTGATTATACAGATTTACATATTTAAATGCCAGCAGATTGACAGCCAATTATACAGATTTACATATTTAAATGCCAGCAGATTCTTTCCTTAATTAGGATATACTAGTTGTAGGCTATAATTAGATAGATGTATATATGGTAGGTTAGCTGTTTTTAGGGGCTGAAGATTAGCCTGAGTTCTTTCCTAATTAACTTGTATTCTGTCCATATAATGGGTGATTCTCGATGAATAGAGACACTTTTTCAGAAAGACACTAAATTGTCATGTTAATACTTTATTTTTGTCCACTCACACTTTTACATGTTTTGCACCCCCAGGCAGTAGTCGTGTACCAGAGCACCACCACAAGGCGGCCATCACTCTTCATTCCTTCTCTTTCTCTATGTAGGATGTTTCCTTGCAACTATCTTATTTTTGTAAAATTACTAGATTAGTATTGCTCTGAAATTGTCCTAGGATTTTCTATAAGGCATGAGGCCAATAAGTTCTATTGTTGGATTTGTTTGAATTCAAACTTGTTGCATGCTGAACGGTTGTGGTTATAAATTGCTTTTCTTACATGTATAAAATTTTGGGAAAACGTGTATTTAGAGGGGAGACTCTACCGAATTTTCGGGCAGAAGTCAAACTTGAAGTTAATTTTTGGTTTTTGTTATAAAGGCAATTTGGTCAAGTGTGCCTGGCACCTGCTAGGTGTCGGACATGCACATGGTTAAGCTCATATTCCGAAGTGGAATTTGGGTTGGGTCCTATCATATGGTGCGCTATTCCGATGGCCAAACAAAGACCCAAGACTTATCATCACTGACCCACATGTACGACTAGAGCTCGGCCTATTTCGATGACCATCAGTAGTAGGAAGATCTCAAGGCGATTACTGGGTTTCAAGCCTTTTCGATGAACTTAGGCTCAGAAGTGGAGGACTTGACGTTCATGGGCCAGATGACTCAACTCACTTGCGGCGAGTTCAGAGGTCATTATGTTGAGTGGAACGGGAACGAGTTAGGGCGAGTTCTCTAACTAGATTTGAATTGGTGGTGGTTGGTTTGAGTGACTGGCTTGAAGAAGAAGAAATTGGCATAACATCATACTCGTGTATTCTATTTAGCGAGGGTTCTATTTTGTGAACCATGTTTGAGGCTCGCTATATTGGAAGAGCGAGTGAGGCTTTTTGTTTACTGTTGGACTATACAATCTCATGTAAGTTAGTCCCCTCGCTTACCAAACATGGGTTTCAAGCGCTATTTCACCCAGTCCAGTCTAGTGAAGCATACTAAACATGTCCTAAGTCCTAACCATAGTCCGAATAGTTTGACTTGGTCAATCGAGTTGACTTTGACTTTTGTTTCTCAAGTTTCTTCTTCTTCATTTGTTCCTCTAACTACATTTTTTGGTGTACGATTTGTAGGTTCCATTAAGCAGGGTAGTGGGTTGTCTCAACTCCTATGAGTTGATTGTGAATTAAATCCCACTATTTAATTCTTCCTATTAGCAGAGGCCAATTATAATTGAACTTTATAGGACTTCCACAAGCCATGGTTAACGTCTAGCAGTTGTTATGGCTACCCAAGCTAATTAGAAAAGGTGAAGAACCTATTCTAGGTGGAATTGCCGTGCAATTGAGTCCTTCTCTATTACAGTGCTCATAATTCATATTATTAGGATATGGATACTTTTGTCAAAAATCTAATATGAATTTTCTGCTTATATGATTATATTTACATTTAGAAACTTCTTTTCTAATCATATCCGATACTTTGCAAAGATTTTCCAATCATATCTTTAAAGCATTCTCTCTCTTTACTGGGAAAAGAAATCCCTTGTTGTACATTCACTTGCCTCTGTGAGCTTGTGGAGAATCCTAAAATGACATTTGAGTCATTTTTCTTTCAATGGTCGTGTAGTAATATTAAAGACAAACAACTCGTGCATAAGACAACTACGATGTCTTAAGTTTGAGGACTAGTTTGCACTATTGCAACTTATGAGTTCTAGTTTGACATGTGAGTAAGACTTCCATAATAGAACTTGTGGTTTGATCTCATTCAGTGTACTTGTCCCTATAAGCACCTACATAATGATCTTAGTGTCGCTACACACAATGAGTTAAGACTAGTCATTCTGTCAATTGAGTAGATATAGTGTGTACCCGTCTTTGAAGATGATCAACACCCAACTGATAATCCTACGATTGGGAAAGTTTAGGAAATGATGTGGAAGTATGAGAGGCCCTTATATCCAATCTCATTACATAGCTCTCATAATATTTCATATTCCCAGGACTTGTTATTGTTATGATAATAGACCAAAGATCATGGTTGAAAACAATGATCTTACCCATTAGTGATGGTGAAATATCTCGAAAACAACATCACATGTTTGGCTTTGTGGCATATTTCTAACAATGTGAGTGACACCTAGCACCATTAGTAATGAGCCTGAACAAAGAATGAGTGTCATGAATAATCACATTAGGGATTTGAGATGAATTCATATCCCATTGATGTGATTAAAGAGTATTAAAATGAGAAGGATCAAATTACATTGTAATTCTAACTGAATAGGTTCTACACCTTTTCTATTTTAGCTTGGGTAGTCATGACATTGTGCTAGGTGTCACTCATGGCTTGTAGAAGCCCTGATGATCAGTTATAGTAGTCCTCACTAATATGATGAATTAAAAGGGAATTTTAATTCACAATCAATTAGGAAGAATTCTAATTGCCAACTACCTCGCAAATTAGAACCTAACGGATTGCACACTAGTTTTGGAAAAACATAAGGATTTGATGAATTAGGAAAACTAATTAAGGTTAGTTAATTAGTTTAGCCAAATTAATTAAGGAATTAATTTAACGGACACAAGATGTCACAATGGGCCTTAAAAATAGAATTTTGAATTCTAGGCCCATTTGGCTTCATCCTAGTGGGCTTATAAGATAAGATAAGATAAGATGAAAACATGTGAGAATTTGGGCCCAAAAGGCATACCCACAAGGATGGACGTATTTGGACTCATTCACTTACTTGTTTTCAGGCACCTTAATAAAGAAGCTTATGCCTTTTTGCCTCATTACGATTTTTGTGAAAAATGGATGAGTGGTTGAGAGATTGAGCTTTGCCTTTCTCTCCGAATTTCCCTAGCAAAAATTGGCCACCTTTATGAAAGATTGCTAACACAATCATCTCATCAAGGTTATCATCTTTTTCCCAAAAGCAAGTTGGTGAAGAGACTTTAGAGATCAGCTCCTTTAGCGGCTTGGAGAGAAAATTCAAAAAAGGAGAAACTAATGTGAAGGCCCTCCATGGGTGTAGACCTTGTGATTCACAAGGTGATGCTTCAAGGCACTGGCAAAACTATGACAAAGACTACAGTGGGCTTGTGAAGACCCGTATTTTTAAAAGTATATGTATTAATAATTTGAAGAATAAATATTTTGATGCATATTTAGCCATTTTAATAATATAAGCTGGAGGTGGCACCATTCCTTGGTTGCTTAAGGGCGTGTAAGCACATAAGGTTGTTGCCTTGTTATCCAAGTGGCTAGCTGTCTTTACTTCATCAAAATATTATCTTAATACCAAAGTTAGAACTTATTCTCAACCACCAAACATATTAACCAATGATAGAAGGATAGTTGCCGACTTTATTTTAGTATAAATAGGAAGCTTACAAGTGATTTACTACTACTTCCAAAGATAACAAATGTGTGTGTGTGTGTGTGTGTGTGTGTGAGAGAGAGAGAGAGAGAGAGAGAGAGAGGTGATGAAATTCTTGTGAGAGATAGAGGACTTAGCTTATATTTTCTTAACTTGGAGCAATGCATTGGAATCGAGGTAGGGATTTCTTGTGGGGCCTTTACAGGAATTGATTTAATTAAATTTCGTGAGCAATATATTATGCATGATATTATTATTTGATTATTATTGATACTGGGTGTTTAAGTGTTGTTAATTATTATTATATTATTTTATTATTATTGACATGATATGTTATCGGTGATGGCTGGAATTCTTGGGATGGTAAAGAAAGTATGGAAAATAGGGTAATGAAAATACTCTTTTGTGTAGTTGAGTCTAACTCTTGGCAAGTACCAGGTCTTAGGGATCCCACAGTGCACATGGTTTTTATTGGGTGATTTGGGACTGTCGATAGGGAGTTAGACAAGATGACTAACAAAAGGGGAATTATGGGATGATTGAGATGGGTGTTAGTTCATATAAATGGGCATTCGGGACCAAGTTGTACAAGCATGGTATGGGACATGCCCAATTATATGAATTAACGGGAGTAGATGAAGAACATTCATGCATTATTATTATTAATATGATATTTGGATGTGTGATCGTATGTCACTTAATTTAGTTATATCAATCTATTGTGGTAAGATCTCATGTCCTTATTGAGCAGTGGTTGCTCATCCCTCACCCTATTTAATTTTTCATATGAATCAGTGGGCAAGACAAGACCTATACCAGTTGAGGCTAAATTATATGAGAGTGATAGAGCTTTATTTATTTATTGTAAAGTTGTAAGATTTTGGAGCTATTTTGATAAGAGAATATTAGTTTAAACCTTGTTTCGGCTTCGTTTTATTTCATTTTACTTTCTCACGCACTGGGTGCGGGTTTCCACTGACCTCCGAGTCCGGGGTCGTGACAGGGCTGTAGCCTAGGGAGGTTTTGGGGATTTAAAAAAATCAAACATATATATATTTGTCTTATTTTAAATGGGATTAACTACAGTAAACCCCCCAAACTATAAGGTGAATTACAAATTCATACCCAACGTTTATTGACCCATTTGACCAATACACAAACTTCACGGAACCTTTCAAAATACATCTTCCGTTACTTATACAGTTAGAGGAATCGTTAAGTACTGACGTGGCCTGTCTAATATGGTATTTTTTTTGCCGAAATGGACTCTACGTGGACACAAATTAATAAAACATTCCTTTATTTGATAAATTATTTAAAAAATTTAAAATCAAATGTATAAAAAATAAAATTACAAAAAGTCTTGCAATGCTTTGTTGGGGGATTGCTAGAAATTTTTCATGAGACATATTGTTGCTTTGAATGTGCTGGAGGAGTAGCATATTTGGTGCAATAAGCTTATACTTGCTAGTATTTTCTTTCTTTCAACTATGTGTTAGTTTAATTATTTGCATATGCTTTAGATTCAACTATGTACTCTTCCTGTAGGTGTTATCTCAAATCAATGAAGGTGTCAACTTTAAAAATAAAAAAGAAAAGAAAAGATTGTCACATGTGTTTGTATTTAGTTGCTATTTATTTTTGCAAAATATAGGAGATGTGAATTTGTGTCTCTCTCATCTCAGATCAGTGAATATTACAGGTCTTTAACTTGATATTGTTTTGTGTGATCAGTTTTGTTGTGTGGATGCTTTGTATGAAATATATTTACATAACCATTATTAGGAATAATAATTACTTGTATGACATGTGTGAAGTGGTTACTTATTTTTTGTCCTTATTGTTTTGTGATGTATATTGATTCCCTTATTTGTATTAATTCATCCATGTCTATGGACTTTTCAAGGAAAGACAAAAAAAAGCCATTATGGATAAAGAATGAGTGTACTTTTCAAGGTTAATTTTAAAGTCCCTAACTTTAGATATTAAGATAGTGTATATTACACATATAATTCCTTAGTAAAATGATGAGTTTTTTGTTTTTGTTTTTTTTAATAGAGATTCTAGAGTGTATTCTGATGGGACCAAAAGGTTTGTTGATACGATTCAAGCTAATAATGGGGATCCAGAAAAGATTTAGTGCCCTTACAGTTGTTTAAACCTACAACATCACCATCATGGTATAGTTTATGGGCACTTGGTTATGAATGGAACGGATCCTACATATACTAGGTGGATCTTTCTTGGGGAAGAACCAAGTTCATCAGTACAAGATGAATATAGGGAAATGCCAGAGACATATTTCATGTATAGAGATGCATTCCTTCAAGATGATGATGTTGTTGAACCTACACAAGATAGAGAAGAGCTGGATTTTAAAATTTTAGTGGATGACGCAGAACTTCCCTTATACACAGGTTGTTCTTACACAAAGATGTCTGCAATTGTTGTCTTACACAAGGCTAGGCATAGTCTAACTGATATAGCTTTTGACGAGCTTCTTCATTTTCTTCATGGTTTTCTACCACGTGATAACAGACTTCCAAATTATTTGCATGCAACCAAAAATTACTCAATGATTTTGGTCTAGGATATGAGAAGATACATGCTTGTGTGCAAGATTGCTATTTATTTAGAAAAGATTTAAAGGACATTCTTCACAGTGGAAAATTAATGAGCGTACCAAAAAAATTCAACAAGGAGTCCCTGCAAAGATCTTGCGTTACTTTCCAACCATACCAAGATTTAGGAGAATGTTTAAGTCACCTGTAAAGCCATAACAATTAACATGACATTACACTAATAGAAGTCATGACGGCAAGATGTGACATCCAGTTGACACATTGGCATGGAATATGATTGATAATAAGTGGCCTTCTTTAGCTTCAGATCCACGTAATCTTAGACTTGGCCTTTCTTTCGATGGATTTAATCCTTTCGATGATCTTAGTTCTAAATATAGTTGTTCGCCTGTGATTTTGGTTGCATATAATCTCCCTTCATCTTTATGCATATCCAGGGAGAATTTAATGTTGACATTACTCATCTCAAGGCCAAGGCAACCAGGAAATGATATAGATGTATATTTGGAACCACTTGTAGAAGATTTGAAAGAGTTATGGATCAATGGTGTAAGTGTTTATGATGTTTTCAACAAGTCCACATTCAATTTGAAAGCTGTATTGATGTGGACAATAAACGACTTTCCAGCTTATGGGAATTTGTCCGGATATTCCACCAAGGGTGAGAAAGCATGTCCAGTGTGCGGGTTGACACATGTTCAAAGTGGCTGATTCATAGTACAAAGTTTGTGTACACGAATCATAGGTTTCCTACACACAACTATCCATTTCGGGGAAAAGCAATGTAGTTTTATGGAACTGTAGAATGTTTCACCTAGAACATTAATCGATTCAAAAGTTCTTCAAGTAGTGAATAATTTGAACAATGATTGGGCAAAATCAAAGAAAAAGATCAAGACAAAAAGGAAGAGAAAGATAGGTAAAGATTCTATATGGCCTTGGAAAAAGAAATTAGTTTTATTTGACTTGTCATATTGCGAGGTTTGTCGTTTTACCTCCGATTTTTATTCAATTTTATTTGGACTTCATTCTTTCTTTGTGTTTCTTTGGGAGGTTTATTGCTAAAGTTGATATATCCTTTCTTTGTGTTGTAGACATTATTACTACGCCACAATTTAGACGTAATGCACATCGAGAAAAATGTTTGTGAGAGCATTGTTGGCACTCTCTTGAATATGAAGGGAAAAACAAAAGACAACTTGAAATCTCGTAAGGATTTGAAAGATATGGGAATCCAAAAAAATCTACATCTGGATGATGATGGGGCTATTTATAAAGCAAGATCATTCACGCTCTCAAAAGAAGAGAATCATCTTTTTTGTAAAAGGACCTTAGATCTAAGATTGCCAAATGGTTATAGCTCAAACATTGCAAATCGTGTATCATTATAGGATTGTAAGATTTTAGTCCTTAAGTCCCACAACTATTATGTCCTAATCTAGCAAGTATTGTCGGTAGCATTAAGAGGCCTTCTAAAGGGACCAAGAGTTGCAATATTCCGACTATGTGCATTTTTCAATGAAGTATGTCAAAGAGTGATTGATAAGAATAAATTGGAAGTACTTGAAGATGATGTTGCAGAGGCATTATGCATGCTTGAAAGGTTCTTTCCTCCATCATTCTTTGATGTTATTATTCACTTACTCATTCACCTTGCACAAGAAGCTCGGATTTGTGGCTCGGTACAATTTCGTGGCATATAAGAGACATTGTGATTTAAGAATATGTAGGAACAAAATATTTCTAATCCATTTTGATTTCTAACTGTCTTGTGATTTAGGTATATGAAGGAATTAAAAGGATACGTAAAAAATAGTTTGAAACCTGAGGGATGCATAGCAGAAAAATATTTAGCTGAAGAGTGCTCACGTTTTTGTAATGGGTACATGAAACAAGCAGCTGAAATTGGTATTCAATGTAGCCGCAATGAGGATCTGGAAGATCAAAATATAGTTAAGGGGTGTCCAATTGGTCAGGGGAAACTAAAAATATTATCTTCTAACTTGTTAGAGATTGCTCATGGTTATGTGTTGACAAATATTTTAGAAGTTGAACCATATATAGAGTAAGTAAGATTAGCATTTTTAACAATAAGTTTAATTGGTTTAAACTAACTTTATTCACAGTCTAAATTTCCGTGATACTTTTTCTTCATATCAGAATGCATTTAGAGGAATTAAAGTGCTCATATAAGCATCTTTTGAAGAGTGAAAGTCTTTTACAAAAGAAGCACAAGGCTACATTCAGTGCATGACTTGGAAATAAAGTTAGAAAGAGTAATAGTAGTAATATGTCAAATTTAATGAAGTGGCTTGCATTTGGTCCTAGAGAAGAAGTAACATCGTACTTAGGTTATGTAATTGTTTGGGCCTAAAAATTGGCACACCCAGCCCAGCGAAAATGAGGCCCAGAGTAAGGCTGCAAAAAATCAAAGCAAATTTGGTCTTCGAGAAACAGGAAATTAGAAGCCCAAAATCTAGAAAACCCAGCCCAAAGCCTGGGTCTCACAGGCCTGTTGTGATAAAAAGGGGGAAGCCCAGAGACAGGAAACAAATCCCACGTGACATCTCTGGGATAAAGAAAAGTCAACAATGGCAACTGTCATGAAAGAAGTGATTGAAAAGTTTATGTCATCAAGCTATTCTGAAAAGACACTGAAAAAATCTGAAGATCAAAATCCCTCTTATATATATATATATTCAGAGATTTTTCTTCTATTCTACAGAGAGGGTAATTCTCCCAATGAGATAAGCAAGCTACAAACTCAGAGAGAGATAAGCAGGAAAGCAGGGAGCTGTCCAGAAAAGAAATCAAACTAACCATCACGGATGAAATCTCACAAGGGGCAGTTGAAATTGAGAGAAGAGATTAGGTTCTTTTTCAAGAAAAACAGGGAAGTGATTGCCTATTTTGAAAGCCTATCTGCCAAACTGATAAAATCATACTTTCTTTCTTTCCATTTAAAAAGAGAAAAAAATGGGAGAGATATCTTTTGAAAAGATTTGCCGCCCATTATTATTTTTTACTATAAATACAAGGAGGAGTGAACAGGGTAAAGGACACAAAAAATTCATCATCCAATCAAACAAAGATCTTACACAAGGAAACCGTCAAATAGACAGCTTAAAATCAACCAACAAGCCCACTTGAATTTCAAGTGAAACCAGATTCAGATCAGAATTCCCAAGGTCCAGACTTAAGAAGCAAGTCATTCAAAACGAGATTTCTCTCGTTACAAATTTGGTTTAGCAATGACCAAGACAGGTAGAGCTTGAGCTTCCTCCAAATATGGAAAACCTCAACAAAATTCACAGTGCAGTCTTTAGCCCATTGAAGCCCTAAAAAAACAGTCACTCCTGCCCGTGCAGACTGAGAAGACTGCAGTTCTGCCCACTCAAAAGCTTCACAAAAGCATGAGGTACATTGAAGCTCTGCCAGAATCAACCTTTGGTATCGATTTACAGTTGAAGCCTAACAGTTAAAGTTGTCAACGGTCCAGTCCAGCCCGGGCATTTCCAGTCCAGCCTAGATCAGAACCTTCCATCTCGACAGAAACGAAGTCCCAGCTGTCTCTTCATCTCTCTCTAGCATAAGCATTCATTGTTATATTTTTGTAAAAGGCAGTTCCGCCTAAAAAACAGTTTAAATCCCATCAACCATCTTGACCAAGACAACCTCTTTATACTGAGATAAATTGTTAAAGTCCTCACCAGTCTGAGGCAGGAAAAGAACTTACTTGGGAGATATTCCTCACCCAAATTCACAATCGCTTGTTTGCAGAAATCAGTAACTTGGGACGCAAGTTATCCATTCCAAACTAAGTCTGCTAGAATTTTTTACTAGCAGTGGCACGCTCGCACACCAAAGAAAGCTGACTTGCTGACCAGTTTATGGTTCTCAAGGCAGTGGGGAACTTTGCCCTTCCATCATAGGAGTAAACGCAAAACGGGTGAACAATTTGGCACGCCCAGTGGGACTTCTCAGTATACATATTCTCATTGAGTTCTTCGCAAGTTCATGAATATTGGAAGCTCTAGCCAGAACCCACACCACGACATGGAAATAAACCAAGTGGCCCTCAGGGAAGGATTGGAATCAGAAGAGAGTGATGCCCGGCATTCAGCACATGGCAGCACAGGGAGCAAGAGGTCCAGGACCGGCTCCAGAAGGATGAACCTGATACAGGAATCTGTGTTACGGCAAGAGGTCACAACACAAAGGAGCCAAGACACTCTAAATAATATGACAGCCATGATGCAATGGCAGGTCAACAGGCAATTCAGGAAGGACCGAGAGGCTGCCATGGCCAGAATTCCCAACCAGATGAGGTGGTCCAGCAACTAGACCTTCCCTATGGTCCTCCACCAAGATTGGTATGGCCATATCAAGAGAATCCTCTTGTTGCACAGGTAGCTGGAATACCAGAACGAGGGGAAATCCAGGCTGGACACAGGGAAGGAGTTTTTCCTATCCAAGAACGTCAGGCCCCAATGCGGCCAGGAGGTCCTGCGCCAGGACAAGCTCCGCAGAATCAACCAGAGCCTCAACCTGTTCCACAACAAGCGGCCCCACAAGATCACCCTATGGAAATTCTGCCTGAACAGCCAGCAGTATTACCCTACAGGCCCAGAAGGATGGACCCCAATCCATTCCCTCCACCTGCAAGAGGAAGGAGAGGCAGAGGGGGAAACTACCCCTATGCTAACAATGACAGGAACAGGCAGGGGGCAAACTGGAGGAACCACCCAGGTCTGGAAGAACCGAAGGAGCACAGGGAAGAAGTTCTGCCTAGGCCATATAGGGCAGAACCCCAAATTAATAATGCCCAGCCAGAACAGGGACAAAATCTCCTCCCTGTTAATGCTCTAAATGACGTGGGGGCATTGCAGAGGATGATCAGGGAAATGATGGAGCCTGAGGCCAGGAGGGGGGAAAGACCCACCTACAGAAAGCCATATCCACCTTACATTGATCAGATACCCTTGTCCCCAGGTTTTAAAGTACCAAACTTCACTTTATTCAAAGGAGAGGATCCTCATGCTTCATCAGTTGAGCACGTAGGCAGATTTTCTATCCAATGCATAGCCATAGAGAATAACCCACTGTTAAAGCTAAGACCTTTCGGGAATTCTCTCTCTGGACAAGCTTTCACTTGGTACACTAATCTGGCAGCAAATTCCATTCAGACTTGGGAACAAATGGAGAGTGTCTTTCATGACTACTATTACAGGATTCAGCCAGAAGTCACCATCAGTGACCTTGCCGCCTTCAAACAGAGTGAAGATGAACCTGCCCAAGACTTTATAAACAGGTTCAGGAAGCTCAAAATGAAGTGCCGAATCCCCATGGAAGAAAGACACTTCATCCAAATGGCTCAGGCTGCCCTCAAGATTTCTCTGAGAAAAAGATTTGATGGGATGCTGTTTGGAGATCTGGCAGAACTGGCAGATAAAGCGTCCAAGTACGAGGAATTGCTCAGGGAGGAACAGCAGAAGAGAAACTCTTCCAAAGGCACGTATTATAAATCCCCTTCTTCCTCAATACATATGATTGAAGTAGAGTCAGAAGAAGATACAGAATGATCGGAGGAGAGAGAGGTTGCAGTTGCGGAAATGGCAAAATTAAAGCATTCCATCAGTTGTAAAACTCTTACAAAGCCTCCAAGGGATCAGAAGCCGCCACCATTCACAGGAGGGTTTGTTCCAAACAAACCCATGCAGAACAAGGTGTATTCCTTTGATCTTACCAAAGTAGATGCCTTGTTTGATGAAATGTTGCTGCAGAAAGCAATAGAGACACCTCATAGAATGCCCAAACCAGAAGAACTCAAGGGCAGACAGTATTGCAGATGGCACAATTCTTGGAATCATTCTACCAATAGTTGTGTTGTTTTCAGAGATGTCATACAGGAAGGGATAACAGCAGGAAGGCTAAAGCTGGCAGAAAAACCTCCATCCGTCACCACAAACCCTTTTCCCCCGCCACAAGTTAATATGGTCAACCTAAATTGGCCAGAACGAAAGAAGGACAGACCAGCTATAGAGGCTGGCTCCAGTAGAAGCAGAATAGTTTCAAAAGAGACTATGGAGAGACCAAAAGCAACCATTTCAGCTGGAGTAGTGCTCTGCAGCAGGTGCAAGTGTGAGGCTGAGCTGGAAGTAGTCCTGGAAAAACAGGAACTGCCCACTCCAAGTGTTTTTGACCGGATTGGAACCACGCCCCATGATAGAGCCAGACAGAGAAACTACCCCAGGCCTGTCCAATCCAGCAGAAGAATGACTAAGCAGCCCAAGGAGGAAATATCAATAAAAATGCCCGGAAGTGAGAAACCTTTGGCGGCCATCATTGAAGGCAGGTGGTATTCTGTCGGGAAGAATGACAGACCAACAATGGAGCTAACAAGAACTCAAAGGAGGAGGGTTCAGAGACAGTACTGCACATTCCTCAATAACAAGAAAAATGCACAGGTGCTTCCAGAGGTCAATTCTGCCAAAAAAGGGAAAGAGCCAGAAGTACTTCCCCAGACAGAACAAGCAATCTCTCAACCATAGAGGTTGACGAAAGCAGAATCCTCAGAGAAACCTTCTATCCATCCTGCATCCATCTCAGAAGATCTACTTAAAACTCCGCAACCAGAGGAAAAAACCGATCCTATTCCAGGAGAAGGACAAGAAGACTGGGCTGAGGAGTATGAAGAGGAGCAGCTGGATTATGAACCATCTGCAGATGACCAGAATGCGCTCATCGGAACAGAAGAACTGGGAGAATGGACGGAGGAATACGGTGGAGAACAGATGGATTATGATGGAGAGTTGGATGCAGAAACTGAGGCCTTCGGTGCAGAATTGGAGGACTTGTTACGTGCTGACCTAGGCATCAATATGGTGTTCATTCTGCCAGAGAAGTTCTGGGCGGTAGATGGACAGAAAAGCACTCTGGACGGAGATGTATTTTCCCAAGAGAGTTTTGAATGCAGGTTGGCAGAAGCGGAAGAGATGCCAGAACAGCAAACAGGCAATCCCAGGACAGAAGGAACCACCAACAAGCTGACTACAGGTCAGCTTTGCTTTCCAAACCAACCAAAGAAATGGCAAACCACCTCAGACCCTTGTTTATAACAGCAAACTTTGGGGGTGTTCCTATCCCCAAAATTATGGTAGATGGAGGTGCAGCCATCAACCTTCTGCCTCACAGAATGCTAAGCAAAATGGGCAGAACAGAAAGGGATTTAATTCCAACCCGCTTGACCGTCACCAATTTCGCAGGGGGCATCACCAAAACCCTTGGGATCCTGGATGTGGATGTTTTAGTAGGAAGCAAGAAGCTGAAGGTTGCATTCTTTGTGGTAGATACTACTTCTACCACTTACAATGCACTGCTTGGCAGAGACTGGATTCATCAGAGTCTATGTGTTCCTTCCACTCTTCATCAACAGTTAGCTTTATGGAATGAAGAAGGCTACATGGAGATAATAGAGGCCGATCCACGGCCATTTCTACCCTCTGCCATGTGTTGTGAGGCAAGGTACTACCATGATGACCTTGGTCCTTTCACCTTCTTTGGAGTCAACCAGAACGGCCGCCCCCATGGTGTCACGGCCCAGAGGCTCATTGAAGAAGGTCTAACCAACTCTTTGGAGGATTGGAACAGACCTTTTGTTCTAAACTTCCAAAACTCTAATGTTTAGTCCCAATCAACAAGAAAAGGATCGAGCTGCAACAATCCGGTCCATTACAAAAAGATTGTTGATATACTGGGAGGAAAGAAAGCTTTTTGCACAGAATCCAGCCATCAATATGGCAGAATTCACTCATGAAAGCACGGAAGGCCAGGAGGAAGAGGAACTACAGGAGGAAGTGTTAGATTTTGCACCAGCTGCACTGGATGACTCTCTGCCAAAGGTAGAAGATCCTTTGTAGGAAATAAACTTAAGAACATGGGAGGATCCAAGGCCTACCTTTATCAGCGCACTATTGAAAGAACCACTTAAGAATGAACTCATTGCACTTCTACAAGAGTTCAAAGATTGTTTTGCTTGGCATTATCATGAGATGCCAGGATTAGATAGGGAATTGGTAAAACACAGGCTGCCAATCAAAGAGGGATACCTTCCAGTCAAACAGGCCAGAAGAAGGATGTCCATGGACACAGAACTGAAAGTCAAGGAAGAAATAGAAAGGCTGCTCAAGGCAGGATTCATCAGGCTAGCCATCTATGCTGATTGGCTAGCTAATATTGTACCAGTTCTAAAAAGAAAAACTGGGGCAGTCAGAATCTGCGTGGATTACAGAAATCTGAATGAGGCCTCTCCCAAGGATGAGTACCCTATGCCAATGGCAGACATGCTAGTAGATGGAGCTGCCCACAACCAGATGCTATCTTTTATGGATGGCAACGCAGGTTACAATCAGATCATGATGGCAGAAGAAGACATCCACAAGACAGCCTTCATGTGTCCAGGGCATATAGGTGCTTTTGAATACACTGTAATGCCTTTTGGCTTGAGAAATGCAGGGGCTACCTATCAAAGGGCAATGAATTCTGTTTTCCATGATATGATAGGGCATTCCTTGGAAGTTTATATTGATGATGTGGTGATTAAATCACCAGAGGAGGGAAACCACATGACAAATCTAAGAAGAGCATTCCTAAGAATGAGGCAACACAAACTGAAAATGAACCCAAAGAAGTGCGTTTTTGGAGTTCAAGCGGGAAATTTCCTAGGATTCTTGGTCCACCAAAGAGGCATAGAGATCGACAAAAACAAAGCAAAATCCATCATAAAGGCTTTGCCGCCTAGGAACAAGAAGGAATTGCAAAGTCTCTTAGGAAAAATTAATTTTTTAAGGAGATTTATATCCAATTCTGCAGGAAAGATCCAACCTTTCTCCTCTTTGTTAAGATTGAAACAGGAACAAACCTTTAAGTGGGAAGAACAGCACCAACAAGCTTTTGAGGAAATCAAGCATTACCTCTCAAATCCACCAGTTCTGTCCCCACCAAAGAGAGGCAGACCACTCAAGCTCTATATATCTGCATCAGAAATATCCATTGGAAGTTTATTGGTTCAGGATAACAAGGAAGGGAAGGAACAGGCAGTCTACTACCTGAGCAGAACTCTAACAGAGGTGGAAAGAAAATATTCTGCAATTGAAAGACTTTGCCTAGCCTTGTACTTCACTGCTGTGAAGCTCAGACATTACATGCTGCCATACACCATCTATATCATTGCCAAAACAGATCTAATCAAATACATGCTAACAAGACCAATGCTGAGAGGCAGAATTGGAAAATGGACCTTGGCCTTGACAGAATTTGCCTTCAAATATGTTCCTCAGAAAGCCGTCAAAGGACAGGCTGTGGCAGACTTCCTAGCAGATCATCCCGGGGAGGAGATTGAAAATATGGACTCTTTAGACATAGCAAATGCAGATCTATTAACCAGAGCTCACACCTGCCTCAACAATCCTATCTATTCAGTTCATCTTGCACCTTGGAAGTTATACTTTGATGGATCAAAAACTGATATAGCTTCCGGGGCAGGAATTGTTTTGGAAGAACCACTTGGAATCAGACACTACTACTCTTTCCAATTGGATTTCCAGTGCACCAACAACAGGGCAGAATATGAGGCCTTAATCATTGGCTTGGAAATGCTGGTAGAACTAGGAATCCAATCTGTGGAAATTCTGGGAGATTTCATGCTGGTTTTAAAACAAATTGCTGGGGAATACAAGTGCCTAAGCCCTTCTCTAGCTGTCTACTTGGTGGCAGCTAGGAATCTTCTGACAGAATTCAGAGAAGCCACTTGGGAACATATCCCAAGGGAAGAAAATTTTGCAGCCAATGAATTGGCTCAGGTGGCAACAGGCATACAAATGCCCGAAGATTGTGTACAAAGAATCATCAGGATAGGAAAGAAAAGCCTACCATCTGTTCTGACCAGGGGGATGGAAATAGATGTCAATTCTGCCACAATCACTGAAGATGATTGGAGAAATCCTATCATGACCTATTTACAATATCCAACTCTGCCCTCGGAAAAGAGAATCAGAATCATGGCTTTAAACTACCTTATGTGGAATGAAGATTTGGTCCGAAAAAGTAAGGATGAGGTGCTTTTAAGGTGCCTCGGAAAGAAAGAATACATGAAAGTCATGGGGGAAACCCATGAAGGAATCTGTGGAGCACATCAAGGTGGGAGAAAAATGTGCTGGTTAATTAGAAGATATGGCTACTTCTGGCCAACCATGATGAAAGATTGCATTAACTATTCCAAGGGATGTGAATCTTGTCAAAGACACGGCCCAGTCCAGCAGGCTCCATCAGTTCCCATGAATCCAGTGGTAAAGCCATGGCCCTTTAGAGGATGGGCAATGGACCTCATTGGCAAGATCTATCCAGCCAGCAGCCAGCAGCCAGCAGCACTGCTTTATCATTGTTGCCACAGACTACTTCACTAAGTGGGTAGAAGCCAAGGCTGTTAAATCCACTACATCTCAAGAGATCATCATTTTCATAGAAGAACAGATTATACAAAGATTTGGCATCCCAGAATCAATCACAACTGATAGAGGATCCTCTTTCATATCTAGAGAAATGCTGGACATGGCAGAGGCATTCAAAATCAGATTGCTCCAGTCCACTCCTTATTATGCCCAAGCCAATGGACAGGCGGAGTCAAGCAACAAAGTGATCATCAACATTATCAGGAAAATGCTTGAGAAGAATCCAAAACAATGGCATGAGAAGCTGTCAGAAACTCTGTGGGCATATAGAACTTCAAAAAGAGAAGCAACTGGCATGACCCCCTATGCGTTAACCTACGGTCATGATGCAATTCTGCCTATGGAGATAGCTGTTCAGTCCCTCAGAATTGCTCACCAACATAACTTAGTAGGAGAGAACTACTCCCAGGCCATGCTGCTGGAACTGGAAGGATTGGATGCAAGCAGAATTGACACTCTCAACAAACTCCTGGCAGGAAAACAAGCTGTATCAAGGGCTTACAACAAAAGAGTTAAGAACAAGAGTTTTGAAGAAGGAGAGATAGTCTGGAAAGCGGTTCTGCCCCTTGGAACACATGTGGCTGGTTATGGAAAATGGTCACCTACATGGGAAAGCCCTTTCATAATCAATCAGATCCTTGGAATGGGGGCGTATAGGTTGCAGGACAGGGACGGAGAAATTCATACTGCCCCAATTAATGGCAAATGGTTAAAAAAGTTTTATCCAACCATGTGGGATTCGCAGGCTGTACAAACAGACCCTGGGATAGACATAAGACTACACTAAAATCTTTTTCCTTTTAAAATTACCTTTGCTCTAGGATTATTTTAAGTTTGTTCCTTTTTGTACTTCTACTTCTGTTTCTGTTTGTTTCATCAATAGAAATCGAAAATTAAAATTGCAACAAAAAATAAACTTTATTTAAAATAAATAAGCCGTAGGGCCCTCCCCATGGCAAGCTGTTCATCTAAAGCAAAAATAACAAAATCAAAATCCTAATTTTCTGAGAGTCTCTTGCAGATTGGTCTTCTTGATAGAAAGTTCCTTTTGTAGCAGCACACCCTGATGAATTGAAGCCTCTGCAATCTCCAGGGCTGGCCTAGAAGCTGCGACCATGTTCTGCACAAGGAAGGTGGCCTTAGTCTTGGAGCTCAATCCAGCCCCGAGCCTGTGCTGCACTTCCCGGTGCTCTGCCAGCTGCTTTTGAAGCTCCGCAATCTGTTTCTCCAATTTGTCTGCAGTAGCTTTGGCTTCTTTATATCCCACAACCATCTGGTCCAGTTCTGCTTTCTGCTTTGCGAAGTCAGCCAAGTTGGCTTCATGAGTGGCCTTGCAGAACTCAGAGGTTTTGAAGGTGGGCCTCAGATCTTCATAACGGTCGTGAAGGTTGAGCACATCCCTCGCCAAGCCAAGGCTCATCTCAAGTATAGGTTTTGGGGCCATGTTCTGTCTGGGCAGCAAATCCAGATCCTTCATCAGCTGGTCAAAGGTCTCCCTGTCCTCATCCAGCTCCAGCTCAGTAGACTGCCAGATCTTCAGTCTCTCCATTGCTTCTTCCACTGCCCTGGACTTTATCTTGCCTACAGGGGAGCTAAGCTTTTCCAACCTGTCTAGCTGGGCATCTAGGTCCATGGCTTCAAATTCTGCCAGCTCCGGGTCAGCAAAAGAGGCCGTGGCAGATGAACCTGCAAGGGAATGAATAGGCATCTGCATAAGGAAGCATAAGTCAAAACAAGGCAGAAACAGAAAAGAAGAAGACAAAAGTACAAAAACACTCACAGCAACAATTGAAGGCTGCGAGGGGGTGGTCCTCACCGCCAAGGTCCCAGCAGCTTTTGGTATTTCTACCTGTAAAGATTTGAGGGTCAGAGAGACAAAGGAACAGGACAAAACCACATAAGACAGGAAAAGACAGAGTGAGGGCAGAACTCACCATAAAGCTAGGAACGGCAGCAGCCACTTCTACTACGGTTTCAGGAGCAGGAACCACTTGTTCTGCCTGCTTCCCAGGCTCTGATCCTGATTGCTCCGCCTGGTCCTCAGCTGCTGGAGCAGCAGTAGAATGTTCTCATCAAAAAGGGCCACCTCTGAGTTGTCCCTATATCTTCCTGCTGCTTCCGAGCCAAGGCAATGCTCTCCGCTATCACCTCAGCAGGAATTTCCTCCTACAGATGCACAGAAGTCAGAACAGAAGAAATAAAAGTGCAGCAGGAACAAATACTGCCAAATATATAAGACTCACCTCTTCTTCCACTGTCTTTGCCTTCTCTTGAGGCCCTTCTCCTACTTCTTCTAGCTCTTCCAGCTTCTTTTCTTGCTCCACAGTTTCGAAAGCCTCTCTCAGATCATCATCCGTGCCAGAAGTGGTGGTAGGAACTGCCCGAGTTCCCTCCGGGGCCACATATTCTTCTACAATCTTCTTTCTAAGTCTTTTTGACTTAGTAAGAGGAGGAGAAGGACTTCCAGCTGCAACAAACAGAAAATGAGCCTTAAAATTATGGCAGAACAGGATTATGAAGAACTCAAAAAAGGAAACTGTCAAAGAATACCTGGAGTCACAGATTGGGCAGTTTCTTTTCTTTTTCTTCTAACAGGAGAAGTGGCCTCAACAGGAGTCTGTTCTACCTGATCTTCTTCTTCTTCCTCTTCTCCATCCCCGGAGGGCAGCTCTAGATCCCCAGCAGCAATAACAGAATTAACTATGCAGAAAACAAAAGTCAAGGGTCAATCTAGTAGAGGAGTAATAGGAGAAGCTGAACAAACATCAAAACTTACCAAACACCTCTCCACTCTGGGAAGGTTGGCTACCAATATTCTTTGTCAAAGAGGGATCTGAATACAGACAGAATAAAAGATTAGCATCATCACTAAAAACAGAATGGGCAACGACAGACAGAATTGAGAGATTACCTTCTATAACTTGCATATTGATGTCTTTAATGGTCTGCACCATGAATTTGTGAGTCTCCTCGTCTGTATGAACAGTCCAATTGTCCCAGCCCTTGAAAAGAACCTGAAGTGCGGTACTAGAAGCAGGCAGATCACGGAATCTGGCCTTCCACCAAGCATCAAACTCCGCAAAACTGCAGGAGTTCAGTTCCCATGAAGGATAAAGGGCATCTGCACTATTGTTAATCTTATTCACTGCACACTTGGCATCTTTGTGGACCTCCAAGTCATCTGCATCCCTCCAAGAAGAGCCCCGATTGCAGCTTCTGTATGACTTAAGGGGTATGAGCTGAGGGCAGCCAAGCTGCCTTGCACAGAAGTTGGGATGGTAGACTTCCGCCCCCAAATGATAATTTGGAGGCTTTCCTCCTCCGTGAGGCAGATCTCTGGGTAAGGTCACACTCAGGAACTTCTTCCTGAAATCAGTTCTGGCAGATTCTTCTTCTGGCTCCTTCTCAAACAGACGATGTCCAGGTTGAAACCAAGGATAGGTTCTCCTGATCACCACTTGCCACTGCGCTGCAGACCTCTTGGTACAATGCCTGAAGATCATCAGGTACTCATCAATTGACCTCTTGGGGACTTCTGCCGACAACAATGGTTGAGCCAGAACCTGATCCTTAGGCAGAACTATGTCTGGAAACCTCAATTCAGGAAAATAGACCTGCAGCCAGATCTGAATCATCCAGAAGGCACCAGGAGCAGACAGATTTAGCAGATACTCTAGGGTGGCAGTATGCAGGTTCTTGAATAGATGAGCCAGAACTGTAGGCCCGAGTCCAACATCAGTGTGATTATGCAAAGCTTCTGCCAGATGTCTATACTCAAGCAGAACTGCAGAAGAACGATTTGGCAGAATAAACCTGTTCAGCCAATACAGAAGAAACAACATATGCTGCTGATCTTTGTCCTTCTCAACACTAAATTTTCTGAGATAATTGGAGAATGAGCAATTCTGGTTGATCAGGGCTGGAGAAATGTTGAATGGCTTGGCTAGCTTATGCTGGTCTTTCTTCCTGTGATAATCACCAACAGCATCAACAGGTCTTCCATAAGGCCTAAAACCAAAAATCTGAGCCATATCCAGCAGAGTTGGAGCCATGGGGCCTATACGAAAGTCGAAAGTGTTACTGGCAGAATTCCAGAAACATAGAGCAGCAGCAAGCAGGTTCTCATCCCTGTTGATAGATTGCCTAGATAGGAGTATGGCGTCATAAATTCCAGCCCGTTTCCAGTGAGCCCCAAATCGGGGAAGAAGCCTGTCAATCCAATCAGCCCACTTGACTGGACTGTTTCTCACTTCACTAGATAGGAACGAACGGCTCAAGTTCTTGCTAACCCAAGAATGAGAAGCCATAGCAGAAGAACTCTCCAAACATAGAGGGGCCTCAGCATCCTTCTTCATTAGCTCTGCCATCTCGGGAGGAACGGGACCAAACCAGTGAGGCCCCAGCACCAAGGTATTTTCGAACAAATGGAGGACATTTTCGTCTAGGTTTTTCTGGGCAAAAGGATGGAGCTTGCTCCTAACCTCTATCGCATGCTTATCATTCCCAGCCCTAGTAATGTAATCTGGAAGACCTGGAACAGAGGAAGATTGAGCACGGGATTTCGGGGAAGACATTTCTCGGAATTATTTTTCTAAAAGGAAGGTTGTCAAGATGGGCAAGGCAGGTTCTAGCAAAAAGGGAATTATCGAAAGAAAGCTCAAGGGAAACGAAGTCTGAAAGTACTAGGTTTTCGGGTGAACAGGAACAGTGGTTTTTGAAATTCTTTTAAAGAGGCCAGAAAACGTGGGAAAGAGAAGACAGCGACGTGGAGAAGACAAAGCGTCATCTGATATTGACTAGCTGATAAAGAGCTAGTAACTAAAAACTGCTTCACACGGGCACTAGCTTAGTGGGGAAGCGGGGCAGACGTGGGATAACAGAGGAATTTACCACGCGCCAATTTAATGGCCATGTCATTTAAGTCTGAAACCGTTCCAAAAACGATTCAGACTTAAGGGGGCATTGTTTGTGTCTAAAAATTGACACACCCAGCCCAGCGAAAATGAGGCCCAGAGTAAGACTGCAAAAAATCAAAGCAAATTCGGTCTTCGAGAAATAGGAAATTAGAAGCCCAAAATCTAGAAAAGCCCAGCCCAAAGCCTGGGCCTCACAGGCCCGTTGTGATAAAAAGGGGGAAGCCCAGAGATAGGAAACAAATCCCACGTGACATCTCTGGGATAAAGAAAAGTCAACAATGGCAACTGTCATGAAAGAAGTGATTGAAAAGTTTATGTCATCAAGCTATTCTGAAAAGACCCTGAAAAAATCTGAAGATCAAAATCCCTCTTATATATATATATATTCAGAGATTTTTCTTCTATTCTACAGAGAGGGTAATTCTCCCAATGAGATAAGCAAGCTACAAACTCAGAGAGAGATAAGCAGGAAAGCAGGGAGTTGTCCAGAAAAGAAATCAAACTAACCATCACGGATGAAATCTCACAAGGGGCAGTTGAAATTGAGAGAAGAGATTAGGTTCTTTTTCAAGAAAAACAGGGAAGTGATTGCCTATTTTGAAAGCCTATCTGCCAAACTGATAAAATCCTACTTTCTTTCTTTCCATTTAAAAAGAGAAAAAAATGGGAGAGATATCTTTTGAAAAGATTTGCCGCCCATTATTATTTTTTACTATAAATACAAGGAGGAGTGAACAGGGTAAAGGACACAAAAAAATTCATCATCCAATCAAACAAAGATCTTACACAAGGAAACCGTCAAATAGACAGCTCAAAATCAACCAACAAGCCCACTTGAATTTCAAGTGAAACCAGATTCAGATCAGAATTCCCAAGGTCCAGACTTAAGAAGCAAGTCATTCAAAACGAGATTTCTCTCGTTACAAATTTGGTTCAGCAATGACCAAGACAGGTAGAGCTTGAGCTTCCTCCAAATATGGAAAACCTCAACAAAATTCACAGTGCAGTCTCTAGCCCATTGAAGCCCTCAAAAAACAGTCACTCCTGCCCGTGCAGACTGAGAAGACTGCAGTTCTGCCCACTCAAAAGCTTCACAAAAGCATGAGGTACATTGAAGCTCTGCCAGAATCAACCTTTGGTATCGATTTACAGTTGAAGCCTAACAGTTAAAGTTGTCAACGGTCCAGTCCAGCCCGGGCATTTCCAGTCCAGCCTAGATCAGAACCTTCCATCTCGACAGAAACGAAGTCCCAGCTGTCTCTTCATCTCTCTCTAGCATAAGCATTCATTGTTATATTTTTGTAAAAGGCAGTTTCGCCTAAAAAACAGTTTAAATCCCATCAACCATCCTGACCAGGACAACCTCTTTATACTGAGATAAATTGTTAAAGTCCTCACCAGTCTGAGGCAGGAAAAGAACTTACTTGGAAGATATTCCTCACCCAAATTCACAATCGCTTGTTTGCAGAAATCAGTAACTTGGGACGCAAGTTATCCATTCCAAACTAAGTCTGCTAGAATTTTTTACTAGCAGTGGCACGCTCGCACACCAAAGAAAGCTGACTTGCTGACCAGTTTATGGTTCTCAAGGCAGTGGGGAACTTTGCCCTTCCATCATAGGAGTAAACGCAAAACGGGTGAACAGTAATAAATGGAAATTGAATTCACACAAAGTATGCTGAGAAAAGTACCCAAAATAGTGGTGTTCATGTTGAAGCAGAAATTATATGTCGATCAAGTGCAAGAGACAACTCACATGTTAGTGGAAAACTATGTTACTATGGTGTTATAAGAGATATTATTTTGCTGGACTATTATAAGTTTAAATACCCTATCTTTCATTGTGATTGGGCAAACATAAACGCTGGTGTCAAAGTTGAAGAAGGGTTTACATTAGTTAACCTCCACCAAGGTCAACAACAATTTTTGAATGATCCGTTTATATTGGCATCACAAGTGAAACATGTGTTTTATTCTAGAGAAAATGATACATAAAGTTGGTATTGTGTTTTAAAAGCACCACCAAGAGGTTTCTATGAGTCAAAGAACTTGGATGAGAGTTATTACATGACATCAGCACAATTAGATTGACTTAAATATAGATCATGAAGATTATGTGAGGCATGATTGTAAGGAAATGATATATGAGGCGGTAATAATAATTATTACATTATTTATTTGTTATCTTTATTTCCATGAGTAGTTATTGTTTATTAACTAATTTGTTTACTCATCTAAATAGTTTTGTTTGTTTAACAGAGTGAGAGTGAAGATTGAGCAAACATTAGTAATGGTTGATGAAGTAAGTTATAGTTTAAGTTGTTTTTTTTTAAAAAAAAAAATTACCAAATTGTGAATTTGCTAATATTTTAAATTTTCATATGTTTTGAAGTCTTCAAAATAGGGCAAAAAGAAAGCAAAGAACCAGCGATTGGCTGTTGCAACAATTGTCGTAGCAAGGAATGGATCCTTGTGTATATTAGATAGAGGTTCTAATTCTCCACCTCAAGATGAACCCAATGAAGTACCTAATAGTCAAGGAATGCAAGACAACTCTAACAAAGAAGCATCAAAGAAGAAGACTAGGGGTAAGACAAAGTTGTTGATTCTTACCAAAGAAAAAACGAAGGGGTCTCGTGTTGTTGTAGAGCTCAATTTGGCAGACCAACCATTTAGAGATAATGCAGCTAGATTTTCTTCATTCCTAGGGATCACAGCAAGAGAACTAGTGCCAATAACATTGAAGAGTTGGAAAGATATGTCAGAAAATTTTATAAATCAAACATGGGAACATGTCACGGTATTGTATAGTTGAGCCTTCACACATCCATATTATAATTTATTTCTCATTACCATATAAAGTAATATATATGTTTTTTTTTTTGTAGCAACAATTCAATCTTGATGATTGCCACAAAAATATACTTTTCGAAAGTTATGCAAACTTTGGAGGGATCATCGATCCCATTTAGTGAAAATTGTGATGAAGCAAGCTCAAGTGGTTGGCCAACCACGCGTTGCTTCTCTTCTCAAACCGGACAACGTAAAAACTATGGATGAATGACTCTCATTTCTCAAAGAACGAACTAGTCAAGAAACTAGAGTAAGTGTGTCTTTACTTTTTTTATCTTTAGTGTGTCTTAACCTTTAGTGTTGGCTACCATTAATGATGTTGTAGATATTGATTGAGTGTTTCACGAATTTGATCTAAATAATCCTTCTTATATTTGGATATTTACTTATGTTTGTTAGGTCCTATTGATTTATATTTTAGCATTAATTTGATATATTTTCTCTTTGCATAGGAAAAGTGTCAAAAGTTTAAGGAAATGAGGGCAACACAAACTTTAGTGCATAGAACGAGCCATAAAAGTTTTGCCTGCATAGAGGAAAAAGAATTGGTAAAAATGACATTAGTTTAATTTCAATTTGTAATGTTTTTTTTTTTTTTTTTTTTTTTTTTTTTTTTTTTTTTGCACGACAAAAAGTGAGAAACTTGATGCAATTTCAAGGATTGATGTATGGATCTATGGACACGAAAAGAGAAAGAAGAATGAGGATGATGAATTTGAGGATCCAGATTTAGTGGTAAAAACTATTTACTGCATATTTTTAGTGTTTATCCATAGATTGATATTTAAGTTTTTATTTTTGTGGTGGTAAATTTTCAGAAAGAAGTGAAAAGTACAAAAATGAACAAGGTCCACAGAAATATTCTATTAAAGCATATTTTGAATTGATTATGATGGTGATTTCAATGATTAGTTTCTTTATATCTCATTTAATTATCTCTTTGTTAAACTCAAATGCCACAGGGTTGATAGTGAAAAAATATTTTGTCAAACTGAATTGGAATAATCAGGAAATTTGATTACATTTATAAATAAATAAATAAAACACACACACAGACATGGCGTGCAAAATGCGCCGTTAATAAGTATGAAATAAAGCTTTTATGGCGTGCTTAAGGAGCTGTGTAATGTATACCAATTAAGGCATGAAAAATGTGCCAATATGTATGAAGTAAAGCTTTTATGGCGTGCCTAAAGAGCCGTGTAATGTATACCAACTAAGGCGTGCAAAATGCACCGTAAATAGTTGTCCAAACCCGTTACGAGAACTCAATCATGGTGGGCCTTATTAACGCTTACGGCAAGCGAATGTACGCCGTAAAAGAAAAAGGCTTTTTTATGGCTTGGCCTTTCATGGCACGCAGCCGCACGCCGTATGTTGAGGCCCAAAAATCCAAGGTTGGGCCCAAATAAATTATCGGCCCAACATAATGCCTTATTAAGAAAAAGACTCAGTTCGGAGCATGCAAAATTCCTCATTCATGCTTACACAAGCCACGACCACATGTCATGCCAAATAAATATGCAATCTCTCATGTTAAGAGTTGAAATAAGCACTAAATCTACGAGCCCATGCTAATTATCTTGTCACGCATCATGCCTCTATTCAAGGACGATAAAATTAAAACACGCCGATTGACATGCCATGCTAAACAGGAAATTATTATTTCACACCCAACCACGCTACAAGCTTAAGTGGGCCTAAGCCACGCAAATGCTCGGAGCTTGCTTGAGTGGGTTATGGTATGGATGATAACAAGCTTTCATGAGGCCCATTGATGAGCCAAGAAATGGAAGTTTTGGGTTGCTTGGGAGCCCCAAAACTCAAGCCCATTTCTTGAGCCCAAACACATGGGCTAGCATGAGAGAGAGAACATGACCCAATGCCTTAGAGAATACAGTAGTTTGCTTAGGAAACCCTATGTTAGTTAGAGCATCCAAATACTTTATTAAAAATGCAACAGGCAAACTGCTTCCAGCAGCTTGACGAAAACCTGTCAAACGATAGAAGTAACAAGCTAAAGACCCAACATTGTACATACAAGCCCAGCCCAAAGCCTTATGAAAAGCCTTGCGTTGTGCTCTGATTAGGACTCCAAGACAGTCAAACAAGGAGCCATGGCAGGAACCAACAGAAATTCGTGTGTGAAGGACGAGTACCCATCGGACAAAGAACTCCCTCCATCTCTCATTTCCTCTGCAAGCTCCATCTTGAAAACCCATAAGGAAAGCAGGTGGCTCCTCCCCCCTTATGGGAAGGTCCAGCTACGTCAAACTCTTGGAACCACAAAGGATTCCTTACCCATGCTCCTTGGATGGGAGAAATTCACCAAAGAAGATAAAGTGGAAATGAGCAATGAAAAAGGGGAGGAAAAGTTAAGACGAAATTAGGGTTCTTTATAGCTATAAAAGAGAGCCTCAGCTACCTAGAAAACCAACTCATCCAAGGCCAGACCATGCTTTGTCAAGCAAACTGGAAATTTTACTCAAGCCACCCAATTCTCTTCTTCGTTCGTTCTCTTCCCCCCTTAGGAAAGAAATCTGTCTAATCTTCCTCTGTTCCACTTTAACCCTTTGTTCACTGTAAGAAACTCACGCTTATCTCTCTCTGTTCATGCTAAACTCATGATGGTTTTGCTCACATGCCACAAGCTCCTCATGCAAAGCCATTAATCAATCTATCATGTTTATTTGGCTATTGGTGAAAAGAACCTGAGGGTATTTTTCTAAGGTTTCATTAAACCTTTCAAAAACTCTTTCAGGAGCTTGGTTTCTGAACTCAGATACTTGGGGAATTTCTGTTCGTTTTCTTCTTACGGTAGCCCAAGCCCATTCGTCAGGCTGCTGGAACAAAAAGACCCCCCACACTGTAAATACCTTTTTTTTTTGTAGTGACAAAAAATAGATAAAGCTTGAAAAAACCAAGCCATAACAATACAAATAAAACTCTCACAAAGGAGAGGTGAAAAGCTCTCACAAAGAAGAGGTGGAAAGTTCTCACAAAAGATTGGTGGAAAGCTCTCACAAATGAGAGGAGAAAAACTCTAACAAAAGGAGAGGTAAAAACTATACAGAAAACTCAAAGAGTCTCTACGATTTATTCTGAACATGAAGAAACTATAAAAAGGATGGTGGTAGAGATCCAACAGCGAAACGCAAGTGGAGAACAATGCTGAGAAGCATCTGCCTGTGATGAGCAGAGCAAAATCATTATAAAATGAAGACAAATAGGGGAAACCTTCTGTCTCTGAAATTTGGGGGGAAAAGGAGAAGAGAGCAACGGAGAATGGGAGAGGGGAGGAAGAACAGTGATTTCCTCTCCACTCAAACTGAAAACGGTTATAGAGTGTTGTTTGGGAGAAGTTACTATTAAGGCCCAAAAAATCCAAAGCTAGGCCCAAATATATTTCTAGCCCAGTACGACACGTAACTTGGGAAGAAACCCAACTTGGGTACGCAAAAGTTCGTCATATACGCTTGCACACTTGCCACACCAAGCAAATAAGCAACACGCCATGCTACAAGCTTAAGTAGGCCTAAGCCAAGCGAATGCCTGGGGTTTGTTGAGTGGGGTTGTGGTATGGATGGTTACGAGTTTTCATGAGGCCCATAGATGAGCCAAGAAATGAAAGTTTTGGGTTGCTTGGGAGCCCCAAAACTCAAGCCCATTTCTTGAGCCCAAATATGTGGGTAAGCATAAAGGAGAGAAAATAGCCCAATACTTTAGGAAAAATAGCCCAATACTCTAGGAAATTAGCCCATTCCCTTAATGGGTTAACCCATCACCTTAGAATGGCCCACCATATGCTGGAGACCAAACCAACGACAAAAGCCAAAGGTTGCCTATGTGCAGGCTACTGGGAATCTCCAGCATATGGCCAAAGAGAAATCACAACACAAGCCATCCAAAAAACCAAAGGATACTTGAGCAAAACACCCTTTAGACCAGTGCCATTACCCACTCATTTCTCCTACCAGCTCTTGCCATGAAATAAGGTAGGAAAGAAAGTGAGGTAGTAGCCAAAAATAGGAGTTTAACACTGAAACAGCTGTGGGAAGGCCTTAGAGTTACCAAAAATCTTGTCTTTGTGTGTTTGGACAGAGGAAGGTTTCACAAAAGAGGTTGAATCAAAGGAAGATGAGAGAAATGGAGGAGAAGACTTAGCAAAATTGGAGAGAACCAACTAGGGTTTTCTTGGGAAAAAGGAGCTTCCAGCGCCTATAAAAGGGAGACACCTTCTACCTAGCAAAACAACTCAAAAAAGGCAAGCAACCCACATTTAGAGAGCAAGCTTCATCTCTCATCCCTGGAACCTTTGCAATTTCAAGCCCCATTCCTCTATCTTCTCCCATTTTCTCTTCTGGTAAATCGTTCCAGAGCTTGACAGAGCTTTCGTCAAGCTGTCGTAAACTACTCAACACACCCATTGTTATTCCCCCATCTCTCTCTTCAACGAACCCTCTTAGAATCCCTTCCCCCTTGCCTTAAAACCCTTGTTTCTCATAGGAAACCCAACCATTCTCTCTCTCATGCTAAACTCACGAATGCTCAGCTCCCATGCCACAAGCTTTTCATGCCAAGCCATAATATTTATCTATAAGCAATTGTTGGTTTCATTGGTGAAGGAGACCAAGGTGCTTCCTAAGGCTTAGCTACCTTTTTGAAGCACTCTTGGGGTCTGATACTTAAACTTAGACTCAAGGGGTAATTTCATACATTTGGCTCTTTACAACAGCCCAAGCCCATCAATAACTTCCGAAACGAAAAAGTCCCTTCAGTTACAACCTATTTAAGAAGGGCATTTTGCATCAAGTAAGTTATAAATCTAATTTTGTTTTGAGTGAAAGTTATAAATCTATTTTGAGGTAATTATTGTAAAAGAGTAATACTATGGACACCAACTTATCACATTAACTTTTGGACACCAACTCATATTGTAATGTTTTATTTATTTTCATTATGAAGCCATTTTGGACATTATTGATTCACAACAAAGAAATTATCATATTTATATCTCGAAGTTGATGTAATAAGTTAGTGTCTTTTGTTTTTCTTACCAAAATAATAATAATAAATTTGTGTCTCAATATTAATGATTATTAAAATTCTCTAAAAATGCTCAAGAGAAACCCTAAGAGAGAAGTTTCAACTGCTGCCCCCCTTGGGGTTGGTGGCCTCCAGCCATCTCCTTCTCCCATCTCTCCCATCCTTACCCTCCAAGACCTTCCCCTCCCCTCTCCACCTCTATTACTTGCCCATCCCCTCCAACCCTTCTGTCTTGATTGAGTTTGGTTGCTGCTTGGTCGTTTTAGTGATGACATGGTGTTTGGTTGGCTTTTATTTACTTGTTTTGTGATTTGTAACGTGGTGTTTGATTGACTTTTATTTACTTGTTTTGTGATTTGTACTAAGTGTATCAACTATGAGTTTACTCTCTGTTTGTAGTCTCTACTTGTATTTTATACTTGTGAGAATGAAAAGATTGTAGTTTGGTGTGCTAAGATGCGATTTTTTTGCTGAAATTTCTTAGGTCGTGTGTGGTTATGTGTGGAGGCTTCCACATTTGTTTGATGACTTTAAGCCTCGATTATGAATGCAATCTTTTTGTTTTTCACTCGAAATTGTCTAACATTATAAAGCATATTTGTATTCTTGAAATTTGATTGGACCATAAAGTGAATAACAAAGTAAAGTACTACAGATGTTGCTCACCAACCTGCTTTCTTCTCGCGCCGAGGCAAATGTTGAAACTGCATTTCTAGAGAGTGGCTCAGTCAGCGGTGAGAGAAGGATATTAACCAACTTGCATTTCTTCTCTCTCGCTTATGCACACCCTTCTTCTCTCTCTTCGGAGTCAAAACAAGCAGTTTGCTAATTACTAGAGAGAGAAAGAGAGAAGAAAAAGACCCAAACCAATTTTCTATCTCTCTCTATGCACGTTGAAGGCATTTCTAGAGAGAGAAAGTTTCACAATTTCCGTCTATCCTCTCTCTTTCTCTCTCTTTCTCTCTCTCTGTCTCTCTCTGTCTCTCTCTCTCTTACAACGACCCAAAAGGCAACTAGAGAGAGAAAGAGAGAGAAGCTGAGGGTTTTCTTCATATTCTTTAAGTTGGTTTGGGCTGTGGATCATAGAAAATGGAGTTCGTGGGCAGAACTGTGAGGAAAGAGTTCAAAGGTTTTGGATGTTTCACGGGAACAGTGAAATCGTACTCCCCCTCATCTGGGTTGTTCGAGGTCGTTTATGAAGATGGGGATTCGGAGGAATTGAACTTCGCTGAGGTCTCTTTGCTCCTTGGTGGCGGTGAGCCAAACCTTGTTGAGGAAGAAGTCAAGCCGAGCCGCCTAGGCCGAAAGCCCAAGAAACGACGTCGAGTGGAGAGGAAGCGAGAAATTCGAGGTAATTCAGGTAATGCTGCTGAAGTAATCTTTGGAAATGATTCTGGGTTTGGTGGGGATTTGAATAAAAATTGTGATTTGAGTGACGGGTCTGAGGGAGGACTTGAAATGGGACAAGCATTTGGAGGGAATTTGAGGGAAAGCGTGGAGGTTGATGGGAATTTGAATGACAATGTTAATTGTAGTAAGGGGCTTGATAAAACCCTAGAACAGCAAAGTGTGTTAAATGTTAATTTGAATGGGAATAGAGTTGATAATTTGAAAGATGGGATTGATTTGAATGCTGAGTTTAATTTGAATGGTGGATGTGACTTAAATGTTGATCTTAATGTTGGTAAGGAGGAAATTTCAGAAAAAAGAGATTGTATTGATTTGAATTTGGATGCGAGTGGTGACTTTGCTCAGAATCTGAATGGGGATAGTTTGGACGGTTCAACTGCGGTAACCCATGGAACCCAGAGGAGGGGTTGCTATTTTGATCTGAATTTAGAGGTTAATGAGGATTTTAAGGATACAGAGGGTGACTGTGAAGAGAAATTCAAGGTTTGTCCCAAGTTTGAGATGATTGAAGAAAATCAAAAGAAAGAGAGGAGCGGAGATACTGAAGAAAAGGTTATCGAAGATGGTAATGCCAATGAGACCTGGAAGGAAGTGTATATTGATATTACTGAAGATAATCCCATGACAAGTGTTGGCGATCTCATTGACTGTGCTGCTGCTGAACGACTTAATAATCAAAATAGTTGTTCCAGCGGAGATTTGAAGGCTGACAATTCTCTTGGGGTTTTAGATACTAGCTGCATGAAGGATTGTGGTTTGGTGGAAGTTCTGGTCAAAGATAGTCTTTCCGAAGCTCGCACTCCAATGATTCATGGCGATTCAGGAGGTCCAAACATTCAAAGAAGTAGCCGTAGAAAGAGAAGAAAACTACTGGATAATTTGAAATCTACTACTACAGAGACAGTTTTGAGGAGAAGTACTCGCAGAGGGTCTGCTCAAAATCATAACTCCATCACATCATTTTCTGTCAGTGATCCATTGTCCTCTTCTGCAGTTAGTGCAATAACAGAGGAAAAACCAGTGATTTCTGGCTGTGAAGAGACTGAAAAGCCTAGTGTTCTTCCTCAGGAGCTGGAGTTACCTCCTTCATCAGAACATTTAAATCTAGATGGAATTCCCATACTTGACCTTTTTTCAATTTATGCGTGTTTAAGATCATTTAGCACTCTATTATTTCTGAGCCCCTTCAAGTTGGAGGATTTTGTGGCCGCACTGAAGTGCAAGTCACCAAGCTCGTTATTCGATTATGTTCATCTTGCTATTTTGCAAACACTGAGAAAACATTTGGAGTGGCTTGCAAATGATGGTTCCGAATCTGCTTCTGATTGTCTGAGGTATATTCTTTCTCCCCCAATTACTATTTAGATATGATGTCATCCTTGGTTATTTGAAACTTCCTTTATTGGTCCTTAATATTCTGTTTTAATGTTCGATGTAGGAGTCTCAATTGGGATTTGCTCGACTTGATTACGTGGCCAATTTTTATGATTGAGTATTTTCTGATCCATGGTTCGGGACTGAAACCTGTTTTCGATCTCAGTTGTTTCAAGATATTCAAAACTGACTACTATGAACAACCTGCTTCTGTAAAGGTTGAGATACTGAAGTGTCTATGTGATGATTTAATAGAAGTGGAAGCCATAAGGTCGGAGATTAATAGAAGGTCTTTGGCAGCTGAGCCTGAAATTGTTTTTGATCGAAATGTAAGCTATGAGGTTTGCAAGAAAAGGAAGGCTCCAGTGGATATTGCTGGTATCACTTATTTGAATGATGAGGTTGTTGGTGACACCACTGACTGGAATAGTGATGAATGCTGCCTCTGTAAGATGGATGGGAGTTTAATATGCTGTGATGGTTGTCCTGCTGCGTACCACTCAAAATGTGTTGGAGTTGCTAATGATCTTTTGCCGGAGGGTGACTGGTATTGCCCTGAGTGTTCAATTGACAGGCATAAACCTTGGATGAAACCACAAAAGTCACTTCGAGGTGCAGAGTTATTAGGAATTGATCCTCGTGGTCGGCTATTCTTTAAAAGCTGTGGTTACCTTTTAGTGTAAGTTGATCCTTTTTCCTCTTTACATGGCTTGGTGCTGCTGTTACTTAGTACAAAAGGCTATTTTTTTCTTCTTATTCATAGGTCACTAAACTCTTATTTGTGAACTACCCAAGCATCGTGCTTAAAATCATTTTTCATGAGAACTAAACATGAATTTATACTCAGTTCCATTGACATATCTTGGAAAACCCAATATATCATGAAGCGTGAATGTTCTGGTGGTTGTGCCATATTTATCTCAAGCTGCATGAGTACTAACTGAAGATGTATGATCCCACACAACATACAAGCAAGTGCTGCCTTTACGTTGCAGCATCCAGCTATTATAGTGAGGTTTTTCAATCTAATTGAGAGTAAGTAGTGAGGCTAGGTTGTTGCATTTGCTTGCAGTGATGAGGGTCTGACCTCAGAAGTGCTATTTCTTTCTGGCAGAAAACTACTTGTGTATTCGGGCCAAGAAAAAGGACAATTGGGTTTAATATGATTCTTTTAGAGCATCTGTAGACTGATTTTGATGGATATCTTGTCCATCCTTGTAATTTTTATTTGTTTTTGGTAAAAGTTTGCGTTTCTTATAAAAGAGTAGTGAGGAAGTCTTGTTCTCCAGTAGGCAGTGATGTTAGCTTTTCTCCATCCATGGATGACATTGACAGGCTATAAGTAAAGGTTGAGATGCGGTTTCCACTTTTATTTCTAAAATCTGAGTGTACAGGCACCTCCTAGTGCCTCAAACAAGCCACTTCCATATTCAGGAAACACTTATGGATTCCATTTTATAACAGAGAGGATGTAATCTACTTCTATGTTGAAATGGTCACGGAAAAATGAATCCTGTCATCAAAGTTATTTAGCAAAGGGTTTAGATAGAACTTTAACCATTAGGTGTTACTGAAGATAATCCTATCAAAAGTGCTAGGGAAGATAATTTTCTAAAGAATCTTGCTGAGTTTGGTTAAAGTCAGCCATTGTATTCTGGTTGTTGTTTGTTGGGGGATAGTTTTGCTTGTTAGTTTTGTTATGGTTTGAATATACTTGGAAGCCTAGTGATCTAGCTATTCTAAGATTCTTATGTGAATTAGTATTTTCATTTTTGTTTTCGTGAGTTAATAATTGAAACTATTGTGGATTAAATGAAAATGTAAAATGTTGTAATTTTATTTCTCTAGAATATTTACTGCTTCCTTTCATCACTTTGGTATGTGTTTGGCTTCATCTGTTTATGGATGTTGCACTTGCAGATCAGATTCTTGTGACACTGAATCCAAATTCAACTACTACCACAGAGATGATCTGATTAAAGTTATCAAAGTGCTAAGGTCTTCAGATTTTTTTTATGGTGGGATATTAGTGGAAATCTATAAGCACTGGGATATTCCTGTTAGCTTTAATGGAGCAAATAGTAACATTGGCTGCTCAGTACCCCAAGACCCATCGGCATTTCCAGAAACATGTGCTGTTAAGAATGAGACTTATGAGGCTAGAAAACTGCAAGAGAATTCTTGTAATATTGGCTCGGATGTTTCCAAGTCTATAAACTTGTTAGATTCAATGACCGTGACAGCAAGTCCAAATATAACTTCTGAAGGATCAGCTGAAACCATGCAAGTGCAAAGAAGGTCAGTCATTCAGTACGATTCAGATAGACCTGCTGATTTTTTAAATCAGTCAGATTTGGTGGGAAAACTTTACCCTGAAGATTGTTCTTTGACATCTACTTCTATTACCACTAGAAAAAGGGACACTTCAGAAGTGCATTGTGGGATTGGTTACATGAACTGTTACAGTTTTGGCCAAATTGCTTCGTCTGTTGCAGAGGAGTTGACGCGTAAATCATCTGACAAAATTAAGGAAGATACAATAATAACAGAAGAGGAAATAATATCAGCACAGATGAAGACCATTTTAAAAAAATCTTCCAAATTTTCCGGGCCAATGTTGGGAACCTTAATCTAGATGCACAGAAAGAGAAATGTGGTTGGTGCTTCTCTTGCAAAGCTCCTGCTGATTATGGGGATTGCTTGTTTATCATGAGTATGGGGCCTGTTCAGGAGTTTCTAATAGTAATATAACTGGCTTTCAATCCAAAAGGAACCAGGATGGCCATCTTAATGATGTCAGGTGTCAAATCCTATCCATTCATGATCGCCTGCAGGGACTTCTTCTGGGCCCATTGTTGAATCCCCACCACAGGGAACTGTGGCGTAAAAGTCTTCTTAAGGCATCTGATCTTGCCTCTATTAAACATTTACTGCTCATGGTAAGGATTTGTTTATTTATTTCAATCTGTGTCTAGTATAGAGTTTGTTAATTTGCATCTGCTAAATAATTAGTCCGGTGTTGATATAATTTTTTTTTATATATACTTTTGTTAATTTGCATCTGCTAAACAATTAGGATGGCATTGATGTCAAAATTTTGATATATTTATGTTCTTGCACGTTAGTTTGGTTCACTTTACAGTTTATATATCACTTCTCCCTGCTTTTCTGGTTTTGTTTTCTTCTCAAAATACTCATTAGCCATCATTTGGAAACCCTAGTGCATCATATTCATGTACGGTGTGCACAAATTTGTATAATGTATAAAAATTCAAATATCTTTGTGCACTTCAAAAACAAAAAGAAAAACTGTGTTTGTTAGTGTATGTGTATTATTATAAAAGGCTTTTTTATTTCCATAACTTGCGTGGCTATCTTGATTTTGTTCTTTGATGCCCTCTTATTTTGGTTGTATGCATGACACAGTTAGAGGCAAATCTGCATCATCTTGCACTTTCAGCAGACTGGTTGAAACATGTAGATTCTGTTGTTACCATGGGTTCAGCTTCTCATGTTGTGACTTCTTTACGTGCATACTCAAAGAACGTTATTAACAGAAAGCGGTCCAAGTGTTCAGATATTGAGCCCACCCCCACTTCAAATGCTGCCAGTGGATTAGGAATGTTTTGGTGGAGGGGTGGTAGGCTTTCTCGTCAGGTGTTCAGTTGGAAGGTTTTGCCTCGTTCCTTGACATCCAAGGCTGCCAGACAAGGTCTGCTAATTCTTTTCTATTGCTTATGTGTAATTTTGCGTGGTGGAGATTTTTTACAGTTAAATCAACTGAATTATTATTCTGAATTCGTTTGAAGTTCTTAAATTCTGCAGCTGGGTGTTCAAAGATTCTGGGTATATTATATCCTGAAAATTCAGAATATGCGAAGAGAAGCAAATCCGTTTCTTGGCAAGCTGCTGTTGAGGCATCGATTAGTGCAGAACAGCTTGCTTTGCAGGTATATTTTCCATACCTGTTTCCTTTAAATGGTGATGTTCAGGTGTTTCAGTGCCCTTTTCTTGCTTGCTCTGGTATGATTTTGTTTTTGTTTGTTAATTGTTCCCCAACCTGAGTGGTTTTGAGTCCAAAACATTGTTTGCTCACCCGTATGATTCATGCTTCTGAGTAGGAACTATCTAACTTTTTGTCAGTAAAAAATTTGCTATGGTTTCAGGTTAGAGAACTTGATTTGAACATTAGATGGAATGATATTGAGAATTCACACCCTCTCCCTATGTTGGACAAAGAATCTAGAAAATCAATCAAGCTGTTCAAGAAAGTTATTGTCCGCAGGAAGTGTTCTGAAGGGAAAGTGGTTAACTATCTTCTTGATTTTGGCAAGAGAAGAGGTATTCCTGACATTGTCAAGAAACATGGTTCTTTGCTTGAAGAACCGTTTAGTGAGAGGAAAAAGTATTGGCTGGATGAATCATATCTTCCTTTGCATCTTTTGAAAAGCTTTGAGGAGAGAAGAATTGCCCGCAAGTCCAGTGATGTGAAGTCTGGTAAAGTTATTGAGGTCGGTAGAGTAGCAAAGAGGCCCAGGGAAAAAAAGGGATTTATGTATTTGTTTTCAAAAGCAGAAAGATCTGAGTATCATAAATGTGGACATTGCAACAAAGATGTCTGATGAGGTAGTACAAATTTGTTCTCTTGCATGTAGTTGTTATCTTATATTTTTGTTCTGCTTGTCACTGTTTGTATTTCCCATGATAGCTTGTTTTCTTCACATTAAAGTAAAGTGTGGGGATGCCTTCATTCTGAAACTACTAATTTTTGGAGTTAGTGCTATAAATTATTGTTCCTGATATCTGGAGGATAGAAATAGCATTGGACTAATGGAGTTTCGTTAGCCTCTTGCATAGGTTGTTCTGTCAAAACATTGAGGTCCCTGTTAAGAAAAATTAGGAGGGATTGGAACACCAGTTGTGATGTTTGAGTAGGTTCTTTTTTATGAATAGATGATCAGCTGTTCTGCTTTCCTAGTCTTGTCAAAAGACCAATTATTTGAGATTTTTTTTCATGTTACATGTTAATGTTGTATTACTCTGTTTTCTAATTTTCATCTTATGGATTTTTGTTTTGAATATAACAGGGAAGCTGTGAGCTGCCAGTACTGCAAAGGTGTGGTATTCTCTCTCTGTGTCTCTGTCTCTGTCTCTCTGTCTGTCTGTCTGTCTGTCTGTCTGTCTCTCTCTCTCTCTCTCTCTCTCTCTCGTCTCTCTCTCTCGCTCTCTCTCTCTCTCTCTCTCTCTGCTGGGGTAACACATGGTATTAGTATTTTGTGTCTTGCAAGGTTTTTTAAATGTATTTTGTAATTTAATTAAATCATCAACATCATACTTAAATTTCTTATAATCCCAGTCTCTTAATTTATGTACCACTTATGGGTCTGCAGTTACCTTTTGTGCTTGAAAGTAACTATGTACCAACAATGGGAACTAATTATAACACTAGGGCTTCTGATGGCTATTATCCAACTTTATTTGGCTATCATGCTCCTGTTAATGTTGGAAATTTATAGTCTGAGCTCTTTTCTGTGGGACATTTCTTTCCACATTCTTGTCATTGCATTTTGGCAACTATATTGAAGTAGCAAATCTTTTATGTACTCTTTGTTATTTGCTTGTCTTTCTTTGGTGTACAGGTAATTAAGATGCATTACCTATTTTCATTTTTTGTTACTTTTTAATGAAAAATGGTGCAACTACAACTTCATGCTTGATGCCTGTCATTGATTTGCATTTGTCTTAATCTTGATATCTGATTATTAAGGTATAAATCAGGTTTTTTCCACAAAAGGCATGCCAGGAAGTCTGCTGGGGCCGTTGTTGCTCGGTGTAAATATACATGCCACCGATGCCAGAATGGGGTGTGTGTGCGAAGATTGACACAAAAATAAGGAAAGTTGAAACAAAAGGAGGGAAAGTACAGTCACAGAAATGTAAGAATTCTCAAACAGAACGCAGATCGTTGCGTTTGAAAAACAACAAAAAAGCTTTAGCTGGAGGACAGCAACTAAGATTGAAAAATAGCAAAAAAAATTCCAGCATCTGTACCTCTACGTCGTTCTCCTAGGAAAGTTAAATGCTTGCCATGCAAAACAAAAAGCGTAGCAAACGCAAAGAAAGGGAAAAAAAGCAAGTCCAATACGAGGACATGTAAGAAACCAAAGAGAGTTACTTCTTGGCAGAAGAAGAGAACACAAGTTTGTCACAGTTACTGGCTTAATGGTCTTCTGTTGTCTAGAAAGCCAAATGATGAACGTGCTATGCTTTTAGGGATAAAAAACTCCTTGCGCATTCTGGATGTTCGCCTGTCATTCTTGATCAACTCAAATGCCCCCTTTGTTGTGAAGCAAGTTATACGTCTGCTTTAAATTATATTTCTTGTGAAATATGCAGAGGTAATGATTAGTTATGTAAGTGCACTTCAAATGTAATTTTGGTTTGAGCTGGTTCAGAAAGTTTTAGTTGAATATTGGCTCTCTGATTTAGTATGTCATGAATCATGCTATTAATCTCCACAGCTTGATCTAATTCCTCCGCAATTACTTATATTTTTTTAACATCTATTCATTTCCTTTTTTTACATGCAGTGTGGTTCCATGCTGAGGCTTTTGGACTGAGTTCAGAGAACATTGATAAGCTTATTGGATTTAGGTGCCACATGTGTCGTCAAAGGAACCCTCCTGTCTGCCCCCATCTGGTAGTTGTGAAAACTGATGTGTCCCAGTTGGCTGAAGCTCAAAATGATGCTGGAGGTTGACTTTTCTGAGGAAGTACCTAACACAGTCCCGCCTTTAAGTGAGGTAATATATGCATAGCAACTTTGGCCGTAATAATTGTGCTGGGTTTATTGATGCAATAGCAACTGTAAAACGAATATATATTCTCTTGTAAATCTTATGTCACTTTGAGCTCAGTAGCTGGTATTAAATTGTGATAGTTTGCTTGATGCTATCAGTATGGCATTGATATCTCAAGAGTGCCCTTAACCTCCCTGCCCTTATGAAGGTCTTTCAGTGCTAGAGGAGGAGTTACTTGGTGATAGGATTAAACTTCTAGCTTCTTTTTGGGGCTTTCTTTGACAAACCATTTTTAAGGTGTCCCTTCTAGTGTAACTCTGATTGTTTTGTTTTTCTTTGGGGAGGGGGTATTATATGACTCTTGAATGCATAATTTTTATGGGTTTGAGGTTGTCAAATTAGTTATTGATGCACTTTTCGACCAAAAAAAAAGGTTATTGATGCACTTCTCATCCATCTTGTATTTTCATGTACTTTTATTAGTAAGGTTTGTGTCTCTTGCAGAAATAAAATTATAATGGTTTAGATGAGTTTATGATATTGGTGAAATTTTTTTTTCATTGGTAATATAAAGTTTGTGATGGACTTACCAACGAACTACAATTGCAGATCACATGCAATTGAATACTTTTGGCATTTCAAGATGGGTACTTCAATGGGTTGAAGCATCTTCAACTCAAGATTTTCAACGACATTGAAGTAAAATTTCATAGGAAATGCGTTGCAAGGCAAGGTGCTTTCCTATGTGATGAAGTTGTGGCAGCGAAGCCATGTATATCAAGAACCATCAGAAGAGCAATGAACCGACAGGAAGCCGATGTGGTATAACTCATGCCTTAAACATAACTATCTTCCTACAATAATTTTTAAAAAAATAGAAAAGAATTTCCACCTGCTTTCATTATAAAAGGTAGGACATTTGTTGTAGATTCTCATGTGTAATTTTTGCCACCTTGCAGGTTTCTAATTATTTTATAAGTGTTCTGTTTCTAACATGTAAAGCATTTGACGACAGTTGCAACACCTGAGGCTGGCGACGTTTAGATTTGATAGTAGAAGCTCCTGCATTTTCCGTGTGTATGAGGCAGGGTGATATGGTTTGATATTAGTTCATTTATCCGAGACTAACAATGATTAATGAATTTGCAATTGAAATTGTGTAGACAGAAGAGAACTAGTTTGGTTTTAGCCTTTAGGAGATGGTAGACCATAGACGCTAGTGCAACCAATTTATTCCTTCAGTCAAAGTAACTGACGGTAACAGCAGTTAGATTTTAGACTACTCGTAGATTATGACAGACGGCTTCTCAAGTTTGTTTGAGCTTCTGTGGATGGCTTTGGTTGTCTGCTTGGTTTGTATTGTTACAACTTACAATGATATTTGGGAAAGAAAAAAAAGGGGGAGATTGAATAAGATTCGTACTGTGCCAAAGAAAGCCCAGAGTAAATTCGATTTGTACTGTTTACCAAGAAATGGGTAATCTGTATTTTCTTTTACGTTCTGTTGTAAATCCATGTAAAATATGGATTAGTGCATGTCACCATAATACCTAATACCTAATAAATGACTCACCCCACCATACCTAGTGTATGACTCACCCTACAATGTATGGTGTATTTCCTATGCCTATAAATACAAGGCATTAAGATAATGAAAAGACAGGGCATTAAGATAATGAAAAGATAAGCTTTAGAAGAGCAATTCTGTGGTTATTCTCTTCCTCTAAATTCTCTCTAAATTTTCCTAGCTTTATAACACGTTATCAGCACGAATATCTCCTAAATACCAGCTGAGTACTCCGATCAAATCCCCCTGTTTCAGTCTTTCTTTCTTGAGAGTTCTTGAACTTCACCACCAAACTAAAATACCAACCGATCGAAACTAGTGACAAACTCACACTGTTTCTGTCACAAACAAGAGAAGAAAAGGTTAAAGAGATACTTACCAGGGATCTGAAGCAGTGGTGGAGATGTGGTCTACTAGAGAAAGTGAGATGCTGACTGTCAAAAGAAAGGAGAAACAATAATTATCAAGAGCTCAACCTTAAGCTTCTTCTCCTCTATTCTTGTGTGTTTTTCATTCATCTTTGGTGCCTATTTATAGGCATAAGAAATACATAGTTTACTACCATAAGTGGTCATATACATCATTGGTGAGTCATAAGGTAGGTTACAATGACATCATGGGGGTTACAAATATAGTGGTAGGAATTGTGGGTAAAAGAGAGATGCTGGGCATCCATAATAATTATTATGGATGTATATGAAATTGTAAATCATATATCTTTTACCCACAATTCCATAATTATTATTATGAATGCCCCACCATATATGTTTTACCCACAATTCCATAATAATTATTATGACCACTTATGGTAGTAAATTATGTATTTCTTATGCCTATAAATAGACATAAAAAATGAATGAAAAACACACAAGAATAGAAGAGAAAAAGCTTAAGGTTGAGCTCTTGATAATTATTGTTTCTCTTCCTCTAAATTCTCTCCATAATTCCTTAGTTTTATAACACGTTATCAGCACTAGTCTCTCACCAACCGAGGTTCTTGTAAGTTTCAATCTTGATATCCCTCTTCCTTATAATTTTTGTTGTATTTCAATTCATTTGTTTCACTAAGATCTATATGATATCTTATGAAGTTTATGTGGCTAATGCTTTCTTTGCACAAGGATCCTCCAAAGTTGATGACAAGAATGCATATGGATGCTATCAAAGAAATTTAAATTTATAATATTTTAGATCACAACTAACCAATTATGCAGGAATCTCAATATAATTATATTGATATGAAAATTTAATTTAATTTAATTTGATTTGATATAAAACAATATATATATATATATATGTGTGTGTGTTATAATATATGGTAATATAACGTACCCATATATATATATATATTCGGTGTTGGTTTTATCTTCACATTTATTTTATTTAAAGTATGGAGTAGAATTAGTACTCATACAAGCATATTTATTTTATTATTTAAAGTGTGGTGTAGTTTATCGTCCACACCAGTAATATTTATTTTGTGAATTTATTTTACAAGTTCATTATGACTCATGGATCTAAATATATATAATATTTTTAGATATGTTTTCCGGTTTTATATAAATAATGTAATATGTTACATTGTGTGTGTATATATATTTATATATATACGAAGTTAGTTACCCATCATGTTACGGCTTTGTATAAAATAATATATATGCCTATATATTTGCAACATATATTTTGTTGTGATTCATTTTTGTAGGAAAAGATGATCTTGGTTATACTCCATGCTTGTTATGATGGGGATGAAAGAAAAGAACGGAGAATTAAGACTTGAAGATCTTGATCCTCTATATATTTAATGAAGAGCTTGAAGATTCTAAATTCTACACATATAAAGGAATAAGCCTGAAGTTACAATTTCTATACATCTAAAAAGGTCTGAAGATTCTTTTATATATGTGTGTGTATATATATAATTTTATGGTTCATCAAAATAAAAGTATGATTAAAGTTAAGATGAACCATGGAGATATTATCAAGTAGTAGTTGGTTATTTTACTTTTATTATGTTTCTAAATTTTGAGATACTCATAAGTTGTGTAATCTCATTTGTGCTGTAAATCCCAATGTACAGTTATATGTTCAATTTATTGTTAATAACTTTAGCACCATGTACTTGAATAAAAAAGAATTTTGTTGAATTCAGATATTGGAACCAGAAGTTCATATCATAATATTTTAAACCTGAAGTTTAAATAGTGAACAAATATAATAATTATAGAACCAGAAATTCTAAGTGATATGATAAATTTATTGTTTGTATGTACTATCATATTTACAGTCAAGGATGGAACCAAGAATTTTTCAACGGATGAGCTAGCTAAAGTTATTAGATTACAATTTCTATAGTTTTTTCTAGAAACAAAATTTTATATATTAAATCATATAAACCAGGCACATGGGGTGACACCACAATGAACCTCGGTTCGATTCATGTAGGAGACAATCTTAAGGCAACCCAATATAATACTCACCTTCCCTAGCAAATAACAAAAAATAAATCATATAAACCATGCTAGTTCATAACTCCATTGACTAAAGTTATCAACCATCAAATCCAATTTTGATACATATTATTTGACATCTCCATTGGAGATGCTCTTAACTGAGCAAAAAAAATTAAATATAAGATGATTATAAGCCTATAGTTTTAGTGGACAATGGGTTACTAGGCTTAATTTTGGTGGACTACTAATCTTTTATAAAGCGAAATCACATTAAAATACATTTAATATTTTTTAATATTTTTTAAAAGCTACTTGGGCTAGAGCCCATGGTAGCCTTGTTGAGGAAAAGGATTTGTATCAATAGTAGGAGCTTTCTCTGCTATCTTCAATTTTCCTAAGGTTAGTGCTTCTTGGACAACATCCTTGAAGACAACACAACTGTTGGTAGTGTGATTCTAAAAATTATGTCATTTGCAGTACTGTCTCCCCTTCAATTCTTCTAATTTTGGTAGCTTGTGTCCATATGGTGTATCTGTGGCCTTTTGAGACATCATTTCATCAAACAAAACACCTAACTTTGATAAATCAAGGGTATAAACCTTATTTTCTGGCTATTTGTTTGGAATACAACATCCAGTGAAGGGTGGTGGTTTTTGATCCTTTGGTGCCTTGAGTAAAGCTTAGCAGCTTATAGGCCCTTTCATTTTAGTTAGTTCTGCCTCAGCTACCACAATTTCTTCTGGCTCTTGTTCATCTTTTGATTCCACCTCAACCAAATGTACAAAAGATGAAGGGGTCTTGTAATAGGCACCTTTAGAAGTATTCATCTTTCAATAGCTTTCCATACTTGGTAACTTTATCTGCCAGTTCTGCCAAGTCTCCAAACACCACTCCATCAAATCTCTTTCTCAAGGAGATCCTTAGAGACGTCTAAGCCATCTGGAAAAAATGCCTTTCTTTTATGGGAATTTTTCACTTCATTTTAAGCTTCTTGAAGCTTAAAATGAAGTCTTGATGACATGACACGTCCCGAATTCCTAAGAATCTGTGATGGATCCTGTGGTTTTTCCGACATCCAACCGATGTCGGGCCCACTTACTAGTTACCAACATCCTCTTCCCTGCCAAAAACACAGTTTAAAAATCACCAAACTTTAGCATGCACAAAGTACGTCGCACACAACAAACAAACAGGCATCTGGCCTCATAACCAAACATTTTCTAAAACGTTCTTGCTTTTGAACTCCTTCGTAAAATCCATACTCCCGTACCAAATATTGTAACAGCTATCAGAAAAGACCTTTCTCCTTCCAAAATACATTTCCACACTTAGAACATTACAAGCACAGCTCAAACAGTTTAATTTGTGGCTGCACCTAGGTTAAAACCTAGGCTACCTACGTACCCCTTTGTGAGGGATCAAGCCACACGTAATTCTTAAATCAACAATCACAATTCAGATAACATACAATCATTTTCAGTAGTACCAACAAGTTAATTCTAGAATCATTAAATCACAATATCTCAGCCTATGAACACAAACCCATTTTTCTTTAGTCACCTCTTCTTAAGACTCATAACTCAACAACCCTTTCCCTTTAACAATTCACATATGATACGCACAATTCTTTTGAACATTCATTTTTTTCCTGATATAGTATAATAATCTTTTTCCCTCTCCCCGTTACTTTACTACATGATGAAGAGTCCAACGCCATGCTTAATAAAGTAACAGTAACTAAAATATCCGGATCCTTTACCACAAGCAGGAAATTCAACGCCACGTGTGGCCCAAATAAACTATGTCCTACGCGCACAGGTTGCTTTACCACAGGCCCGGAAAATCCAACGTCGCGTGTGATAAAGTACTATCAACCAAGTGAGCCCACACACCGGAAAATCCAATGCCACATGTGGCTAAACCAAATCAAACGTATGCGCGTAGACTATTTTACCACACACCCAAAAATTCAACGCCACTTGTGATAAAGTACTAACTACCAAGTAAGCCTACACGCTGAAAAATCCAACTCCACGTGTGGATATAATAAACAGAGAAGGTACATATGATAAT